CAAAAGAAATAGAGGTAGGCACTACATTCTTTAGGAATTTGAGTATGTGCATATTTCCATTTCCCGCCCCCGCCCCCGGAAAATTCATAACAAAATTTTGTTTGATTTATGGCATTCTTTGACTTCTAGAATGATTGTAAGACCAGACTTAGGGGCTTCTGTGCTGCTCAATTGGAGTGGTCTGAAATGGGCTAAATACATTCATTTAAAGCCACGTAGAGGCCATTAGGTGTGCTCCCTGCATCCAAATGACATATGGACAACTAAAGCAACCCTATTTGGTCCACCTTTTAAAAAAGAACCCAACATCTTCCTCCTTGCCCCCTCCTTTTTCCTCCTTTTTCTGGAGGGAAGCCTTTGTGTTTTAAAAATGTTTTTCTAAGAAGCATAGTACAGTACATCAATGCTGCCCAAATAAGCTTTTAAAAACAAAACAAAACAAAAAAACTTTGCTTTCTCTCTTTCTGCCAGAGGATGTTTTTAATTTCCCAATATCACTGAGTGATTAAATTTAATGGCCTTGGGAAATTAAAACCAGGTGGGAAATTTAAAGAAACAAGCTCCACTTTTGTTCAGTCACAGGGATTTGCACAGGCTGGAAGCGAACCAAAATGGAGCAATCATACCTGCACCTAAAGAACAATAGCCCCCGATAAAAAGCTGGAGAAGTGCAGATGGAAACACTCTGGGGATTGGCAGGTTTCTACTGGCACTAACACCACCTGGTCACCAGCAAAATGAGCAAATCAGCCCGTTCCCACAGCAGTCCAATGTCTGAGCAGTCCCCTCCATAGCTAATTCTACAAGCTTTTCCCACCAACGCCATCCAGATTGAAAGCATCTCTCCTTAGGCTTATTCAGATTTGTTAATAAGAAGAGTATTTCTTGGCCTCATTATTTACCCCCTATTACAAGGCTTTGAGGTCTAATTCACTCTTACCTGAATTGTTTCTGCTGATATATTTTTTGTTGTGGTGGTGGTCTTATGTCTCTACAAACTGTGAAGAACATGAACATGTTATCTCCAAAAAAAATAGTGTTCCAAGAAAAGCAGTTGTTTTAAAAAAAGATCTGGCTCTCATTCAATTAAAACACTTTTACAGTTCGGTCCACTCTTCACCTAGATTTTTTCTAAACTTAAAATGTAATATTTGGAAAGCATCGCTGGGGATCATATTACGAAACGTTGTTCTTTTTTCAGAAGAGCGGAGCTGTTCTTGGTCTTTGTCCATTCAGTGCGCTCCAGTGGAACAGATGGAGTTTGCTTGAAAAGGCTTCCGTGTCAAAATGCAAATCAGTCTCCCTTGTCATTTCATATTTGCCTCATTTGTTAAGATGCTTCACAACATGATGATGTGGGAGCCAAGCTATCCTACCCTTAGGAACTGTATCCTCAGGATAACTTTCTGACTAAAGCAGGCCAAAGAGAATCACCAAATGAGTGTCATGCTCTTCATGGAATGGCTTCAAATTGTCTTAATCCTCAGATTTCCTTCAAATTATAATTACTGTAGGCTTGGGATGTAGGCCAAGGCAATGGTATGAGTGCTGAAAGAATAACAGGGCAATCTTCTGCGTATGCACTCCGTGATGAAACCTTCTGTCTTCAGTACAGCACAGGTTGGGAAACCTGCCATCGTCCCTGCTGGAACATGAAACCTGACAGGATTTGACCAAAGAGTTGTGAGTTTTAGTTGAAAGAAATTGCCCCCACTTGCAGAAGGGCTTAATCCCCAGTGAGTGGGCTGACGGTTTCAATCTGGGTCAAGTATCAGAAGTTATGCCATAGGCAACATCATTTTATTTCAAAGTATAGATCTTGAAAGGAAAGGAAGATGTTTCACTGATATGGTAACAGATTGTTGTTTTGACTTTAAAATGTGAAAAGAAAAACTAAATTCAAATAAACCATTTTGAGAAAGCATGTCGTTAGTCCCCACTTTTAAGGTGTGCATGTTTTTATACTGTAACTTCAATAGGTCAAATGGAAGTATTGCTTTTCTAATGTTAGAACAACTGTTCTTTTTTCCCCTTCTGATTCAGAATAATAGGCTATTAGCCCAAAATAACATTACAATGTGCCATGCCACATATTCTGCCTATATAATAAATATATTAGAAAAAATCTATGATACGAAAATTGCAACTTGTTTTCTAGTGATGTAAGCCACCTTGGGTCCTTTTGGGGTGAAAGGTGGCATAGAAGTATTTTAAACAAACAAAGAAACAAACAAACATCATCATAGTCATCCTTCAGTCTCGAGAGACTATGGTAGAACAAACAAACAAACAAATAAATAGAGCTTTTTTAAAAATTCCAGGATGCAATAGTTTTTTATACCTGAGAACTATGGTTTGCACAAAGCAAGAGTATCTTATGGTGATACTCAAATAATTAGTATCTTTCACAAAGTTGAAAACTGAGGTACATTAGTAGAGCTGGAAGTGTTTAGTCAAAAGTTAACACTGAGGTAGCTGGGCAATTTATCTACATGAAGGGAGATCTCAGGAGGTTCCAGAGTTAGCTCAAAATGCCATGCTTAACTTTCCTCTCAGTGAAAGAATAGAAGCAAAAGGGAGCCCTGGAGATACTACAGAGATAAGGATGAATATCTCCTATTTATGATACTGTTAGCTATCCAGAGTGAGAACGCCATTTGCTTTCTTTGAATTATTTCTTGGATTGCAAAGCATGTACTTTGTCCTATAGAAATCAGTGGAAATTAGCCATTGGTAACAAGGATTCTTCTTTTTACTATAGTGGAGCAATCTTGGGTTCTTTTTTCTTCCTGTGACACTGAGAGTGTGTGTGACATTTGGAAAGTGTATACACAAATCCCTTGACAGAATTGTATGTTGTCAGAAATCAAATGACATTATATTTGATTGGGTCTTTGTGGCACAATTGTCCTTTGATCTAAATAGATTCATTTTTCATGAAACTTTTTATTGATTGATTGATTGATTGATTGATTGATTGATTGATTGATTGATTGATTGATTGATTGATTGATTGATTGATGCATTTGTACCCCGCCAATCTAGTCAACTGACTACTCTGGGCAGCTTCCAACACATATAATCACAATATGAAAATATAACATTAAACATCAATAATAGAGTTATTCAAGATGGAAAAAAATACAGTAAATCAAATAATAACTGAGGGGAAGGCCTGCCTAAATATATTAGTAAACATAAAGGATTTTGATTCACACCTAGTCAGATGCAGTATTGTCTATTCTGAATGGATGTAGCTCTTTTAGGGTCTCAGTAAAAAAGTTTCCACTCATTTGCTACCAGGTGGATAAACTGGGATTGAATCCTAGAACCTTCTACAATCACTGGGCTACAGTCCCTCTGCTATGTGTCATGGTGCTGGCTGCAATTCTCTGCCAAGCTTCACTTCATATTCTTCCAGTCTTTTGTTTCAGGAACCGACTATCTGAGATTGCAGATTATGCTCTCCCGGGATCCACAATATCCCTGTGTGCAGTAATGACTGTAATAATGTTCACATAGGACTTTCTAGAGTGAAGCACCGACATGAACTTCATAATGTATCAGAGAGATTTAAAAAGTAATCTGGAGTATGACGAAGGTAGATAGCAAGTAAGAGCAGTGTTCCTGGTTCCTTTTCTGAACTATTCCATAGTAGTTTTACTTTCTAAAATTGCTTTGCTCGCTCCATTTGCTCTGTTTTTCTATGTTCCTCATAACAAAAATTCTTTGTATTTGCACAGTTATAAATATTTATAATGTTGTAATTCTGGGCCTGGATGGCAGTGACTATGATGAATCTTGTTTGGCGTGTTTTAATGGAAAACTTTTATGGGATGGTTCTCTCAGGTCACTTATCTATTGAAATTTATGGGATTTGGTGAGATAAATATATAATCCCCTCCTATTTTGTCAGTTCTTTTAACCTGACTTTTTTTCTTACTTTGTGGGTAAATATTATCATGGTAGAAAAATGTTGGTGATAGAAAAGAATAATTCTGAGCTTGGAAAAAATACCTTTTTAAAAACACAGAATATTGGATTTGTAACTAGCATTGCAAGTTCTGAAAATTTTGATACTGAATGTTTGACAAGCCTTTTAATGACATTGCTCCTCTTAGTCTGAGGGTTTCTGAGGGGGGAAATCACATAATTATTTTCCTTATGTTGCCTGTGTCTTATTTTTCTTAGACTTGTTTTCTGCATATGTGTATCTAACAGTCTTTAGTTCAATTTCTCCTTGGAGAGCTATCACCAATTAAAATAGTACTGGTTTGTGTTATAACAAGCTAGATAGTTGGAAATCTGGCATGTCTTATACTATCGTTTTACCACCTTCTCTAAGGCAATACAATGCATCTTTAAGTTGAACAAGCATAAAACCTGAACAAGTCTTTAAGAAGTATGTTTGTTGACTGTGACAGATGTGATTCAGACTAAAACGAGTGGTAAGCCTATTTAGTTAACCTGAGCCGTTAAATTTCTTCTAAGAAACAACAGTTGTGTTTTGTCATCTGCCTATGCACATAATAATAATATATAATAATACTTAGGTGCCATCAAGTCAATTCTGACTTAAGATGACCCCTCTCAGAGTTTTCCAGGTAGAGCATACACAGAAGTGGTTTACCATTCCCTTCTTCCGGGCCCACCCTGGGATGGAGTGGCTTGCCCATGACTATACAAGCTGACTCTTCTCCCAGGAGAATTAGCAAGGAACTGAAATGGAGTGGCTTGCCCATGACTACACAAGCTGACTCCCAGGAGAATTAGCAAGGAACTGAAATCCCAACCTCTGGCTTCAGATACTTAAACCATTGAGCTATCCAGCCAGCTCATCTATGTCCATAACTTGGTATATTCCAATTGTGTTGACGTGCTTCCAGAAGTTGTCATAAATGAATAGTGCCTAAGAATCTTTTTTATGCAGTAAGAAACTTCATAATAATTGAAATACATTTATATGAGAGAAAATACCTTTTTATATTCTTCTATTCTAGGGCCCTCCAGGGGTTCCAGGATTTCAAGATTTCTTCAAAGGGCCATATTATGAGGTATGGACACTTAATTCCTTTGGGAACAGATGAAATATTATATACTATTATATAGCTGCCAGCCTCATGTGTTTTCATTTGTAGATATCTCTTTTACCTGTGAACAACAGGAGAACCAAAAGAATGATTATATATATATAGCTATAGATATAGATACTTAGACAGCTCCCAGCCTCATGTGTTTTTGTCTGTATATGTCTTTTTACTTGGGAAAGACAGGAGGACCTAAAAGAGGAGAATGGCACATTACAAGAATGCTGGTAAAACTGTTCTGACAAGAAATGGTCCTCTGACTCCATCCCACACATTTAGCATGAGTTAAAGCATATTCTGTAATGCAGCTAGGCATTTAGTTGTTGTGTGATTGCTGTTATTGATCTTGTCTGTAAGAAACTCTTCATTGAAGAAGTCCAGGGTGCCCTTGCAATATATTATGAAAACAACCATCAAGTCATCCAGTCCTGCGTATGCCCCTAATTTTTACCCCATAGTTTGAAGTCTATAATTGCTATTACATTTGAGCACACAAAACTTGATTGCTTATTCTCCATTCATAGCTCTAAATTTTGACCGACACTGCCTGTCACACAGCTCAAAGGGTTCCCTTGATTCATCTGACTTTCTTCCTTTTCTTTCCTTCTTGCCTTTTTTTTTTTTTTTTTTGGTGCTTAGGTATGAGTTCCACTGTCAGAATTATTCCTTGCTCTCTGACATACTGTCATGTGCTCAGATAGATCTCCTGCTTTTTTTTTCTCCAGAAAGATAACTTTCCTTGGATTCCTAGATGAGGCTTAACTAGTATTGAAGCATCCTTTGAAGCTTTCAATCAATGGCAATGTCCAATTTCAATGGAAACTCAGTCATTCTCTTTAGCACAGCAGTGTGGCTTATATGGCCTGTACACTTTTTGTTGCCCCCCCACAAGCCTTTTCTGTGGTCCTTAACCCCTCCCAGTCCTCTATATCCCTTGTAAAAAATTGTGGGCAAAAAATGTTTGAAGCATCATGCCTCCACGTCCTCCAGGGGTACAGTTCTATACAAAATTATCCCCATTCCTAGACCTCGTTTTGACTAAAACAAGCATTTTCTAGAATCAAGAAATAGCCTTCTACTCACTTCTGATGTTAACAGGAGGGGTAGATGCAGCCTGCACCGGTCTAAGCCATGTGACAAGTGTCTCTCAGATCCTCTGCAGCTGCTCACTTTCCATTAGGACAATCACGAACCACTCTGTTCATGGCAGAAAATGACACTCTTCTAGGCCTCTAAAAATTTTATGGAACTGCTCCTGGAAATAGGCTGTATCATTCGTTTTTTATAAGTTGCTAAGTGGCATATTCATTAGATGAGCAAGCTGAGAGGCTACTGCATTTTGCTCAGTTTTGCAGCACCTCAAATAAGTGCAATGATGTATTCTCACTCTGTCATGACTTCCCTTTCTTCCTGCCTTCCTGCCATGTTCCAGGGACTCCTTCTGTGCTTGTTATATTCTCTGGATTATTAAGGGATTCTAAGAAAACTCATATTTCCAGATTTTCCATTCCGAATCCTTCTTTTTTTAAAGTCCAGTTGTTTGGCTCCATGGTTCCTTGTAAAGGTTGATGATCATATAAATGCTCTGCTGAACTGACTCATAGGACTTATGCAGACCTCTAATCTGTTGGTCTGGTGCCGGGGAGTTGATGTACTCAAGGCAGCAAGAATGCTTAACAAATTCCTCATTCTTATCAGCTGAAGCTCCTTGAACATGATGAGGCACCTCACTGAGGAATTTTAAATACATGTAAAATTCCTTACCTCCAGCCAAAAAAATGACAGAGTTTTTCAGTGTTAAACCAGGCTAAGCCAAGTCATGTAACCTGCAGAACTTTGTGAATTGCACAAAAGTATGGAAAAATGGCAGGTTTATACACAATGACAGTTTTGCCAATGTGTGAATTCCAACAAGAGTGCAAAAAAAAATTAATCCTTTCTGTCTTTCCCAAGGAGAAGGGTGTTGTGGTTCTCCATCATGTTTGAAGAAAAGCAAAGATTTGATCCATTATGATATACTAGTCTAGCATTCCTCGTTTCTCCAAGACTTCTAGTAAAATAAAGTTTGTCAATGAAATAATTTCCCATTTCTGCTGAAGAGTGGTACACAACCTGAAATGTGTGCACCAGAGTATGGAAATGTTACCTTTGTGACTACAGCTCCCAAAATTCTGGAGCCCGCATGGCCAGTGGCTCTTATTTTCCATGTTCTGATATATGCAGTTCTCTCTATTTCCTGGTTGTACACATGTGTACATATGCAAATGTGCACACATAAATAATGAGCAGCTTCATAAATTAATTGCATGCTTCGTTCTACACATTTACTTGTAGTTTGGACTTTACTGTTTTGAAAACTTCTTTTGATGGGCTGCTTTTCTAACCCATTGCATAAGAACATCTAGTTGTACTGGGATATTTTTTCCTTTTTAATGTATCATTTGCTTCTCATAATAATATGCTTGACACTCATTTTAGCAGCCTCCTAATTCCACACGTTTAAAGATTAAGTTAGTGGCAGGTGACATGAGCCACAGTTGAGGTCCTCAAAGTTTGATATGCATCTGTCTACATGAGTCATATTTCTCACTGCCGTAAGACTCTACAAATTCCTAAGGCATATCATCTTTCCCAATTAATATCTTCTGGCAAAACATGGGCCAGCTGTTTTGTGTTCAAGAAATTAATCATCTTGTAAAGCCTCTTATGGAACACCAACGCACTTCTCTTTTCAGCTGTCCATTTCAAAGCATTTAATAACTTATTTTCAAGTAAGCAACTTGCCAGAAGATGATTGTCAAGTTTACCAGTCTAAACTTCAGATGGAAATACTTAGACTCTCTGGAACTATTTAAAAAATGAAAAGTTTTGTCCAACCTTAAAGGCTAACAAGTTTTATTGACATAATCCTTCATTGGCTGCATCCCTTTTTATCAAATTCTCTTTGTGAAGGCTTATGCCAAATAAAACTTATTAGTCTTTAAGGTTGGTATTTCATTTTGGTTTTTTTGCAACAGACTAAGATGGCTAAAATTCTAGAAATGAGAGTTTCGGCAAACAATGGGACTGATCCAAATCTTCAAAATGAATTAATTAAATTTAAACCTTCATATTGTGCTAAGAGTGTCTAGAAGAACTATGTGCCTTTTCCGATGGGGGGATTAAATAATTAAATGGTCTTTATATATGTGATCTATTTAATTTTGTTCTTCTTCTCGCATCTTGTGTTGCTGTAGAGCCTCCTGTTATTAACCTAAATGAATTGTCTTGTTTACAACACATTTTGCAACACAATTGACTAATTCCTTTGTTTATAACATGTAAAATAATCATTATCTATTATATTACAGATACTTTGTGCCAAAAGGCATTGGCCAGAATCCTATTAGTATTCATGTAAGGTTTGCCTAACTTGCTGGGTTAATTGACAAGGTGCCAGGGTACAACTGTGTTGCTCGGTTGTGTGTGTGCGATCAGACACATGACCATGACACACCCTGGTACCTTGCCAATCAGCTGCAATTACCCACAGCAAACAGCAATGGGATTCTGGCCTTTACGTCAAAGCCAAACAATAATCTTATAATAATAATATTACAACTGCAAACCTGGAAGAGACCCTATGGATCATCAAGTCAAGGAGGCGCTATGGGAAATCAGACTCCTAACCTCTGGCTCTGCACCCAGCTACCTAAACCACTGAGCTAATGTTCACATTTGTAGTGACATGCTGGACTCATTTGCTGCCACGAGTATTCTTTGTTTTTTAGCAAGTTTCCCAATAGCCTACAATACATTTTCAGTTAATAAGACTGAGATTCATACTAATGCAATTACCCCTTTAGCACATGATTGTTTGGGCCCCTGTTCTTTGTGCCCCATATCCCACATTCTGTAGCAAGTATGTTCCTACCCACAGTATAAGAAAAAGGAAAGGTTCCTACCTATTTTCTGTTAGCCAGTATTTACAGCTCTAGTCAGCAAATGCTTTGTTTCATCAGCAGCCTCGGGAGAAAACGCTTCTACTGTATTCCCTTAAAAAGTAACCATTGATGTGCAATCAGTCATGCATCATAGCCATCTAGCCACAAGCCAATACTTGTGGTTCTGCCATGAAGTTTTTATACTTTTCATCCAAGCTAGAGACTCTTGACATTTAATACACCCTAGGGAGGAGAATGCTTTCTGAGGTAAACTGTCTCACTGTCTCATGTTTAGTAGGGGGTTGTATGACTCTGTTTTAAGAAGCTGCAAAGTGAATAATAATTTCCTGCATCACCATCACAGATTTGCTGTTTCTGAATGCAGACATTTGGAGGAGTTGAAATTCTTTAAGAATTTGGACCCTGCTTTTCATTTTCTCTAAGAACCCCACAATCTGCACTTCCTCATACTTCCCTCATTAGCTTATGGGTCATGGTCAGACTTCATTATTCTCAGATTCTGTCCTGACATCTAAGCTGCCAGCTCAGATTCCATCTTTCATTCATTTTGTTCAAACTCCCCAGATTAATTTGAATGGGATATGCTAGTAATCCACCTATTGATATATTTATATAAATAGTATTAACTGTTTTGGCATTTATTTATTTAAATGTAAAGTTGTCCTCTTTTTTGACACAATTTTTAGTAGTGGAAAAGTACCTCCATAAATCTTCCGTGAATACAGCAGAGGAACCCCAAAATCTCAGAGGAGTGGAAAAGAGATGCATTTCTCAATATTACTACATTTATGACATTCATGCCCTGCCTTCTGATATTTTCAGTGCTTTGGATGCAAGACGACGTAGCTTCTGATTGGGGAAAATAAACTATCACTTTTATTGCCAATTTATATGCCCAATCTTGTGTTATTAGTACTTAGCTTTCTTCTTTCAAGCCTCCTTTATAGATTTTTGTGTATAACCAGTTGTTTACGGTTTGAACTGAAGTGCTCTTCTTTACCATCAGAGATCCCATTGTTACTTCTAATATGTTCACCCTTACTATTTTGCCTTCCTACATACAAAAACATATGGAACTCCTTTGAACTGGAAAACATCCATTAGAATAAGTTTCAATATATACATGTATACATTCAGAAAATGTACAAATTTTTGTTCCCTTATTTTGTTTTCTAAGTCTGATGTAGCGGGATATCTTCTCCAATTGTGCTTTTAATCAGCAAATAAAATGTGCACACTGTTCCAAAAAAGAACTTTTGTATGCAACATGGTGTGTTGAGCATGCAAAGAAAAGCTTGAAAAAGTTTGGTATTTTAAGATGACAAATATAGCTATGGCTTCCTCATTGTTGTTGAAAACAATAGAGGCATTGTGGACCAGCCAGGATACATCTAAAAATTTGCAGGAGGAATAATTCAAATATCAAGGCTAATGTTTCAGAGAAGAAGGGAAAGAGGAACCATAAGCTGTTCATGCATCCATCCACCATCCGACCATACACTGCTGGTGGAGCAGATTCCATCTCTGTCCACACAGGCTTGTTCCTCCCAATCTTCTCCAGGGAGCTTTGAAATCCTGTGGAGCAGGTTTCAGGGGTAAAGGCGGCACGGATTTGATAAGAAGAATGGAGAATTCTGTTGAGCCAATGAAAGTATGTCCATGTGGTGTTGGATGGAATCCATTATTTCTGTTATCTTCCCTATATTGTGCGAAGCAGGACGCATGGATTGATCCAAGACAGATCTACCAGATATTCATAGAAATTAAAGGGGAAATTATAGACGTCTTTCCCCCCTCCAGATGTCATATATATGCCATGATGTGCATTTAAACAAGGTAGAATAGCACTTTCAGAAGCTTTTCAGGTCTATTATTCTGCTTGAAACCACATGTGTTTGTTTTAAAGGGCAAAACACAGCATCTTTGCTGCTTCTGCACTGCCAGCGTTTTATCAGACAACAGCAAAATTAGTAATGGGGGTATGAGGCCTTTGGCAGGTTCATAACGATGTTATTCCGTGCCATGGAAGAGCTTTCTTATTGTTGTTCCCACTTCAATGGCCCCAAAGGGATAATGAACAGATTTTAAAAGCCTTTATTGAGGGCCATATCTGTGAAACATGAGAAAACTGGTTCTAGTTCAATACTAAAATTATAGTATTAGTTTCATTTATGATACTTGATGTAATCCTGCACACAGCTGGAAGTAGGCAGCATTAAATTCAAAAGAATTTGAAACAGTGATCTATCTCTCATCAGTTATGATTTGATTATGAACACTTCAGAATGCAGAAATTCTTATTGCCCAGGAGAGGAGCCGTACTTAAAATTAGAATTTGATTCTAAATTGGAATCACTTCTAATGTCATTTCAGTCATCTGATGATTTAGTCCAGTTGTCACCATATGACTGAAAATGGGGGTGGGGAGGACCATTAAGAAGTCCTATTGATGTTGGTGGCAAGCGATCCTGTTTCTTTTATTGGTTAGGACAGCAAATTAATGGATATCTTTTTATTTTCCTTTAAAGAGTCGTCGAGAAGAAATGGGAACAAAAGGTGAAAAGGTAAATAATCATGCTGGTCAGGGATTTGGAGGTGGCACGTTTGCTTGCTTTCTTGACATTAGTGGGAATTAAGCATGGGTCCACTTACCCAAATCTTCAAAAGAAGAAACAAAAAGAAAACAAATTTGGAAAACTGATTTATGTGTCAAAGAAATGGTCTCAGGCTCATTATTGTTCGTATCTTTGGAGTGTTTTATTTAACTAAGGATCCCTTCAAACATTTTTCCAATAATATGGAAACTGCTGCAGTGTGTATCTACTACATGCTACTGTCATGCAGAAACTTTCCTTTCCATACAGTCTCCTTTCCTGGGAATTAGGGAGGTGCTAGAATGGAATGTTATAGCTGCATTGGCCAGATGAGTTTGGTCTTACACTCACCTTTCTGTGATGTATAAGGGAGCCCCTTCAGAGCCACAGAAGTAACCTCATTAGGGTTCTCTCCCAGCCTAGGTATCCTTCTCTGTGGCAAGACAAAATTTAAAATTCCAGGCCTAAACATGTTTAACAACAGGAAAATGAGCCTTAGGAAATTTGGTAAGACGTACTTCAGAGCAAGCATGTTTTAGACTTATCCGTATAATTCAAGAGAGAAACCATCTGGACTGCACCATTAACCATATAGGCTCAGCATAGTGAAAAACATATATAATAGACAAATCTCACTAAATGAAATGGGACTTGCTTCTAAATTTCTTAATTTTAGGAAACATTGAAGTTGTCACCAGTAAATTCAAGTGCTGACTTTATGTTCCTCTGATAGCAAATTTGAGTTTGTCTTTAACTGTTCTGCTGAAACATAGACCTATTAAACAAAGGTCTATGCCCAAGGCATAACTAAATGGCATCATAGTACTGTTTGAGTATATCCTATATTCTGCACTTGTAGTTTGTGCATGGATGGAAATATATCTCTGCTGCATTTGGGTTACAACTTTATATTCTCTGCTTTATTACTTTTCATGAGAACAGCGTAGAGCTTAAGAGTTCTCAACATGCTAAGAATTCTGTTTTATACATACAGGTATTTCATTTTAAATGCCTGTACAAATATTAAGGTTTTTTTGTACTCTGTTTAGGGAGAGCCTTCTGAGAAAGGAGAAAAAGGGGATCCAGTAAGTAAAACCTATAACTATGGTCTTCTTCCATTATATTGTCTTATTTTGCTGTCTGTTCTGGGTGCTTCCAAGAAATATGGATGTGAAATATGAATATTGTGCTATTAGCTCTTTGAGTATGTAAATATTCCCAAAGGAATATTGGGAATATTCCTTACCATGGAGAATCCCTGTATTGGCAAGTCTTTGGAATTTCATTGATGAAATTTGCTGTGGGTAGCATTGCCTTTTTTTAAGGACAAAATTGGTGCAAGAAGTTTGCAAAAACACATACACACAAAGTAAACTGCTCGCTAGCATATATGCTATCAGTTGTTCATATTTTAAATCTCTATCAAAAAACAAGGGCCAAAAACTAAGGGTAGCCCCAAATAGCGTTGACCCATGGAATCAAATGTTGAATTGTAAGTCAGCACCTAGGTAAATTCCATTGATAGAATTGATCTACTCTAGTAGAATCAACCAACACAATTCTGGCTAAGGTTAACTCGTCTTTCTTGTAACTTTTCTAGGGTGAATCAGGGCAGCCTGGTCCTCCTGGCCCCATTGGAAGTCCAGGACCTCAGGTATTTAAATTGTATTTGAATGCTTTCATTGAAGGGTATATTGTCTTTTCCATTGCAGGTGGAGAGCACAGTTGATTTTTCAGAACTTTTAAAAGATACCATTAATGTTTTAACTTAGGTGTGCTTCTGTACTATGTTAGACATCAGCTGGATCTCTACAAAATGTCAAAAATATGTGCAGCTTCCTAACATCCTTTCCTATCAACCCCCTAAAACCCTCACCCTCACTGTCCTCTGGTCGAACTCTGACAGTGTTGCTTCATTGACCTGTGCGGTGCCAAATGCATAGATAACTCCAAATGAATGTTAAATAATATTTGTAGTTGGTTTCCCATTTAAAAATACATCTCAGCTAACATCACCATCCTTTATCAAATTACATTGTGCATCCATTCCTGCTCTCCCAAACAAAGGAGCGAGATTTGTTTATTTTATTTGCATGGTTAATGTATAGGTTGCCATTCAGCTAGCATAATTAGCATAACAAAGAACAACAAAAACTACACTTTATCAAAAATATATAGCAATAAATGAAACAGGCGGTAAAAGGAGATTTGTAATAGCAATGACAAAATCATTGCAAACCTTTGGATTTGAACTGGCTAGATGATGTGCTGCAAATCTTGGACAGTTTTTGTTTTTTAAACTTTGTATCTTCATTTTGGGAATATACACCAGTTTTAGTGCCAGGCAAGTATGCTTGCAATGAGTGTTCTACAGGCATGGCACCATAGTTTAGAAAGCCCCGACATTGGGCAAAATACGTCCGTAGGACACAGTAGCATTTCATATGGAACCTTGTGAGAGGAGAAAGTAACTTAACATTTGTTCCATTGTTCTGTTATTCCTCATTATGAAATGTGTAGCATGCATAAAATAGTCAGGAAGCTATCCCCACTATTGAACAAGTCTGAACTCTTCATATTCTTGTAAAACTGGAACGAGCATACATAGGACAGGTCATTTTAGAACTGCAGAGTCCAGCCCTTGTCAAGGAGGCACAGCAGGAACTGGATTCCCAACCTCTGGTTCCACAGCCAGATCCCTAAGCTGCAGAAATACACAATTTAGTGAGGGTAGGAGCCAATTTTCTGGTCCCAGAATCTGCTGTACAAATAACCTGAAAATCCCCCCCCCCAAAAAAAGAGCATCAAAAAGAAAAAAAATGAAATATTAAGTGGCTATTTGCCCACTTTCAAAAATTAGACGCGAGGCTGTAATCCATTTTAAAATGTGAGTCGCCACTTATGGCGCCTTCAAAGTGCTTCATCGGCCCCCCCTTTTTTTTCAACAGGGACCTGCAGAAGGCTGCAAAAAACAGCCTCCGTTGGATTGCTGTTTGCCGCTCTAGGGCTGCATTTTTTCCACCACAGCTCTAAAACAATGGTCTAGGACAGTGATGGCAAACCTTTTTGAGCCCGAGTGCCCAAACTGAAAAACAAAAACCAGTGGACGGTGGGTGACAGCAGCAGCAGAAGTGGAAGTGGTGGCAGAAGGGGGAATCCCAAGCACGGAGGTGCCTCCAGACCCCATTCCGGATCCTCCTCCAGTCATGCCCAACCTTGCCACTGCCTGTAACTCAGCCAACCAGCTGCTCCAGATCCTGGCCCGCCACCTGCCAGGGCTCTAGCACTGTGGCTGCAGCCACCCCCTCAGGTTTGGCTGCTGGGGGGGTAGCGATCCTGTGACTTATGTCTCATGTGCCCACAGAGAGGGCTCTGCGTGCCAGCTGTGGCATGTGTGCCATAGTTTGCTGTTGCTGGTCTAGGAGGAAATTCTGATGGCTATGGTTTCTCTTTATGCTCCTGAAATAAAAGCACTTTGAATGATTCTTTAAACACAGGGACTCGCCCCAATTAGTTATACAGTACTATACAGTAGGACCTCCTTATCCATGGTATCAGTATCAACTGATTCACTTATCCAGCCTGAAACTATTAAAAATATTTAAAGAAAAAAAAATCCAAAAAAATATTTTTTTACATGTATTACCAGAACCAGCTACTAGAGAGAGTCAGAGACCATGCTATGAATACTTATTAGAGAAGAATACATAAGTGACCGCCCCTGGTAATGCATGTGAAAATGACCTATGGAGAACAAGCACTCTGTACGGTTAGATCAGAGTTTGTTTCTTTCTTTAATCTGAAAAAAAAAAGCTTAGCACATCATCTGGTCATTTAGTCTCCCAATTTTACAACCACAGAGCTTGGCTAGATCAAACTATTAGGATTAGAGACACACAGCTGTAAACTTTAGGGCCGGACTTATTCAGATGCTTACCCTTTTTATTTAAACGTTACAATGTGAACAGGAGGGGTTAGTCGGTGTTTGTTTAGAAAACCTACATGGTTGTCATTGTGCTGGTTGGTCCCAGAGGGTAGCCAGGAGGATCGGTGTGTGTTGTGTTTTCATTGCATCTTTTAAAAATCAATGAACTGAAATGTCCAGGAAAACTGCTGGCATGCTCTTTTTACAAGGACTACGAGCAGAGTTGTGTTTGATATGCAGCCCATGGGATCTAACACCAGGGACTATTAGCCATCATACTGCTTTTTTGGTACTTTTGCTACACATTCTGTTTTTCTGAGCTTCTTGTAGTCAATTTTTTAAAAAAAACCAATTTAAACATGCTAAACCCAATTCAAATACAACCCCCCCCCCTCAATGTAACCATGTTCTTTCTTGGGAAGAAAAGGCACTATGGTTGGAAGTAGGCTTCGTTTTCTAACATATCATTGGGATTGTTCACGGTTTGTCTTGATTCAGATGACATACCAGTCTACAGTTAATTACCAAATAAAAATGAAATCGTTCTTATAGCCACACTGCAAGGCCGTGCAAAAGCACGAAGGAGCCAGGTTAATTCTTGTGATAAGAACCTGTGATTTAAAATTATGAATGAAACAAAAAGAATTGCTGCAATGGTTAAAAGGGTGAGCTACTTTTTAAAAAAGGTAAAAATCAAGCCACATGGAGCTATTTCTCTATTAGATTCAACTACAGATACCCAAATATAAAATGCATGTATACCTTATCCGTTATGAAGAATGAACATGTATAACAGAAATTGTTTTCCCTGGAAGCACGTGGCAGTCCTTTCCCTGCCGTAATTTATTTGAAAGAAATGACCATGTTTTGAGCACACATGGAGTGTTCATATAACACAAGTCCATGAAAAGTTGCTGCATGTATTTTGTACCCAGTGGCTGAAATCCAGCAGTATAACGTACACTGTGTAAGGCTAGTGACATCGTCAACTCTGGTGGTTTTTCAGAAATAAAAAAATATGCACTTCCCCTTCCAAAGATACTGAGACCACCTTGCAATCCTTTTCATTGCGGGCCAGACTTTGAGGGCTGTGGGGCAGACTGGGAGTCTTCTATTTGGAAAAAATAAAAAATAAAATAAAATACAAAAAACAAACAAACAGACGCTGGTGGTGGGATGATTTAATATACCCTGCCACCAGTTAAAGTAACAGGATTTCAGCCACTGTAAGTTATTGTGCTGAAAGACAAGATATTTTGGGAGATGTAGTTTTCAAATAAACCACATTGTCCTTGCATGCTCGGTCCGTCACGGATTGTTGAATGCCTTTTAAGTACTTTACTTACTAAATACGGGATAAAATGTGTCAACCTAGAAACATGAGCAGACCATCTTTAAATTTCTATGGAAACCACGGACAAAAACATTCTAAGAATAAAGCTTCTGTTACTGTGCTCTTCATTACTGGAATGCATTTAAGTAAGAAAAAAATTGTTTTAACTGATTCCATGACCAAAGAAAGTATGGAAAAGGAGTCAAGAGTCTGGAACTATTAACCAAGCATACTAATATCAAACTCATTTTCCAAATGGTTGCTGTGGGATTTTTCGGGCTCTTTGGCCATGTTCTGAAGGTTCTTCTTCCTGACGTTTTGCCAGTCTCTGTGGCCGGCATCTTCAGAGGACTGGAGTCAGAATGCAATCTGTTCTCTGTTCATTTTCCAAAGGTTGTACTTCCCAAGCCAGAATGTCACCATCCAGGATTCATCAAGCTGGAGGGAACCTCAGAGTTTGCAGAGTTTTTTTAAAAAATCCTCAGTGGGTGGGGACGGGGGACCCTAAGGGGGTATGGGAGAGAAAGAAGGCCAAAAACAGAATCCTCCACTCCATTCATTATTTCATTTCTTGTTCACTCCCCCTTAGCCTTCTTTGATAGCTAAGCATATCCTCTCCGAGGATCATTGAGTCCAGCCCCTGTCAAAGAAGGCCAGTGGGGAATCAAACTCCCAAACTCTGGATCTGCAGCCAGAGACCTAAGCTATACGAACATTACAATGAGGCCTCAGAAGTATGAAAATATGAAGCTGACTTACACTGTGTTATTCCTTTAGTCCAGTGGATCCCAACCTTGGGTCCCCAGATATTCTTGGACTGCAACTCCCAGAATCTCTTGATAGCACAGCTAATGGTGAAGGCTTTTGGGAGTTGCAGTCCAAGATCATCTGTGAACCCAAGGTTGGGAAGCACTGCTTTAGTCCATCCATTCAATAGAGTTTGCAGTCATTCACCTAACTCTCCAGAGTTTCAGACAGAGGTCTTTCCTAATTCTACCTGGAAAGACTAGGTATTGCATTTAGATATTCCTACATTCAAAACTTTTTCACTGAACCACAGTCCTTTCTCAAAGTTGACTGCAACATGGTTGGAAAATGCAGTAAAATGTACACTGAGGTGTCGACTGCTTTGGAGATCAGGGTTAAAATCCCCATGAAGCTCATTGTGTAATCTAGAGATAGCCACATGCTTTCAACCAAACATTTATTGCAGGAGGTCATTGTGAGGATAAAGTGGTATCCTTTAGCAAGCCTAGCAAGCCAGTCTGAGTTAATTGAGGGAAGAATACATATTGGCTGAAATCCCATTGTTTGGTGTAGAGTAGAGTAGGCTCATTGAACCAGTGGGGGCTTGGTGAGTCAACTCCTCTGTAGGTGATTCAAATGGGTCTACTCTAGTTGTGATTTACTACATTAAAGTAAATCACAACTAGAGTTGGTTTCTTTTAATCAATACAACTTATGAAGGAGTTCACTCACAAAATCCTCACTGTGTGACTTACTATACTATAGCAATATGAGTAGGTGCACTATATACAGTCAGCATTTCAACATTTCTGCTGTTATGTTGATGTCGGTTACTCATTCTATGGGTATCAAAGTATGAAAATTGAACTTTCCAAAGAAAAGAAATCTGTCTTTTCAATTCATGTACTTTTAATGGAAAGAAATCATCCCCTCACCCCCACAATAAGTGCACATACTATAGTTGCATGATTGCAGTGTGTCTCTCTCTCTCTGTGTAATATTGTCCTGACAGGACAATGCACCACTTTCTTGGATACAATTCATTTAAGCAGTTGTGAGAAATTGCATTTCCGTGCTTTTGCTCATAAGAATTTGTTCTGGAGCAAATTTTAAAGTTAATGCATTAGAGTTCTACCTAAAATGCCAAAACTGTCTAAATGGATTCTAGTTTATTTCCTGTTCCGTTCCCTACCGTTCAAAGGAACTGATAAAAGGAGAGCAAAAACAGTATGAAATGTCCACCTGAAGTGTGGAAACCAATACTTAAGCAAAGGTGGCTATAAGTAAAAATTGTGTTTGTAATTATCCCAAACTTTTTTTGACTGTACCCTTTGAATGTGCAAAAGCAAAAACTTTTGCTGAAAGAAGGCAGAGGCAAAGAAGGAACAACAACTGCTTTTATTATCATTTTTTAAATAATTCCATGTGCATCTTCCAAGCATTACAGCTGAAGTAAGTACACTCAAGAGTTGCCCACACAGGAAAGGGGGGAAATGGCTTTTGTATTACAAGACTGTAAATGGGCAGGGGGTTTGATGGTGATAAATACCTATGGATTCTCTATGTTATACACAAGTTTAAGTTTCTGCAGTATGTAAGATTTTTTGTTTTTGTTTTTTAAAGAAGGACAGGGTACTACCCTTTTAGTAAGTGTTTTCACATTCCTGCATTTCCAAGGAAGAAAGTAGCAGTGAATGTCACCATCTCATAGTTATTCAAAACTATTTATTTCTTTTTTTAATTAACTAGGGCTTACAGGGAGAACAAGGAATGCCCGGAAAACCAGGGATTAAAGGAGAAAAGGTACATTTTACAATATCTATATGTATTGCTTTTAAGGGTCATCACCTTTGTTATATAATTGCTTTTATTTTGTCCACTCATAATATATACAGTGTAATGAACTGTTCCCTACTAGTTCAGTGATTGATTGCACCTGAATGGGGTACTCCAGCTCTTAGAAGCAAGCAATAGATTTGAACTGAGGGCCGGGTCACACAGCCAATAAACCTGGGATTTGACCTGTGTAAAAAACCATCCTGAGTTTCATGTTCACACAATGAATTCCAAGGTTATTTTCCTCTGACTTGGTTTATTTTCTTAGGAAGCAACTTAAAATAAATGACCACTAGAGTGCAATTTATTTTAGCATGCTGTTTTCTTAAGCCCATTGTGAATGTTACAGCTGGTTTTAAAAGGGAGCACTTCAATTACTCAGTAAGAACACAGGAAACTACTTAAAAACCACATGACTTGAGTCGGCTAAAATTAAAATGCTACATATTGTGAATTCTTTTTGAGAAATATGGACAGACTCTGAATGACAGCTTTTGTCTCAGCTAAAGAGCATGCTTTGCCCCTTAAAGGCTCAACTGAAAGCTGAGGAAGAGCTTGTGGAAGTGGACATGCAGGACAAGAGCAAACAGAAATGCTGGTTTGGAATAAGAAAGCAGGGTTTTCCTTCTTGTTTCTACAGAGTCATATCTATGTGACTACTGCATAAACCCAGATGCAATGGTGATAGGTTAAAAAAAAGGCCCTGGTGACCCAGAGTGCAACCACACTGTGAGAAAAATACACATTGATCCACTGGCATTCACACCCATGGAAATCAGGTTTCCCTGGGGAAATTCACTGTAGCCATCCAGATTTGCAGGAATCAACACAGGGTGAGGTAGAGAGCTTGGTTTACACTGAGCTCCAAGAGCAAAACCCTTAACAAGGTGCGAACAAGTGCTGATTAGCAATTTCTATCTCTCTCTCTTTTTCAAATTAGTTTCTTAACTGCTGCAGCGAAAGCCTGTCCAGTGCAGTGAAACCATATAAAAAAGAAAGAAAAAAATGGTGTAGACACAAGGGGTACTTGGTTGAGGGGAACTGACTTCCCCAAGAGTGCCCATTTGTGATGTTAAACTACCCTGGCAGCTGAAGAAGAAAGATGATTCCCCTTTAAAACAAAACAAAAAATCCACAATAGGCTCCCTCCTGTTCAGCTTTACATCTTGTGGTCATTGGGCTTTAAATTGAATGAATTACTGTAGTTCCCAATGCAACTTAAATTAGGGGATAAAGAGGCAATGTACAAACCCCCATAATGCATCAGATGAGAAGATTATTGGGGATATATATAGTAAAATGAGACTTTTGAACAAACTGTTGCTTTTGACTCCTTAAAAGGCAATTGTGAAAGTGAAAATACGTCCATTCACATGCCCAAGATAATGCATGGTAATATCTGACATACTGTATTTCCTTCTGTGGAATGAGAATTGTTTTCATCTTGACTTTACAGGGTGATTCTGGTGGAATCATAGGTCCCCCTGGGCCTCCAGGTTCTAAAGGCGACATGGGGCCTCCAGGATCAAGTCTCCCAGGAAAACCGGTAGGTACCACAGAATTACCATAGTGCAGGAAGGACCATGAGAGCCAGTGTGGAGTAGTGGACAGCGTGATGGACTAGGACTCGGGAAACCTGGATTCGAACCCCTGCTCAGGCATGGAAACTCACTAAGGGATGGCAATGATAACATGTCTCACATACCTTGAAAACCCTTTTAAAGTTTTCACTAGCTGGATGTGACATGACATCACTTAGCAAGGTAACAAGGGAGCACCACTGACTCATCAACAACGTAAGAAGAGGAGACCAGCGGCTCATTAAAACAAATGTCTGCCCCAAGGCAGGTCGACCCATCTATGACCGATGCATCCTGGGGAAACCCTTTCATACAGCGGAAAAAGAAAAAGAAAAAAAAAACTTAAAACCGGGGTATTATTTTCTATGGATTTTGGATTGTAAACCAAAAATTATGTAAACCGAGGCTTTCGTAAACCAAGTACCGCTGTATATGCTAAATCTTGTGGCACAGTCCCATGGCACAGTGGTTAAACTGCAGTACTGCAGCCAAAACTCTGTTCACAACCTGGGTTGAATCCCAGGTAATCAGCTCAGGGTTAACTCAGCCTTCTCTCCTTCCAGGGTTAGTAGATTTACCCAGCTTGTCCAGTGGGGAGGGCCTCCATAATGTGTAGCCTGCATAATTGTAAACTGTCCAGAGAGTGCTTTAAGCACTATGAGGCTATATATAACCAACAGCTTATTTTTGTTTTAAGTCTGAAAATAAGCCAAGAGCAAGTGAGTAGAATTGTGATGTAGGGGTTTTTTTTGTCAATTTCACCTCTACAGTAGTGCAACTGTGGCTTCAGTTAGTGAACAAGCAGGCAGGCAGGCATGCTTAAACATTTGTATTCTGGCTATCTGGGGCTGCGAAATTTGTTGGCTAATTGAAAATTAAATCACTCTCTTTCAAAGCAGATTTTGTGTTTGTTTCAGGGCCCTCCAGGAATACCTGGAACAATAGGTCCACGAGGTCCTAAGGTAGGAGAAAGTGGTTAGACCTCTTGTTGATTAAAATGCGAGTAGCGAGTGTTTTTTAAGGATTTAAAGCAAAGATGTGTTCCTTCGTCAGGGTGAAAGAGGACTCCCTGGGCTGCAAGGGCTTCCTGGGGAGATGGGTCCAGCAGGAAACGGGACCCACGGCCCCCCTGTAAGTACAGAATTACTTCATGTCACTCTGCTGTCAGACAGGACTGAGAACTTCTAAAGGGACATTAATTAATCAGAGGAATCAACCACTGTGGCAATTTGCAGCCTCAGATATATCAGCAAGATGTATGGCCATTCCCTGCTGCTGCAACACTGAGATTCAGTATTTTTGAATGTTTATACCCTAGATTTGTCACCATCCAAGATAGTTGGAGTTCTCTCACCAAACTGCGAATCCCATGATTCCATAGCAATAGAGTGATTGCAAGTAGAGCAGTACCAAACAGTTGTAACTGCTGTGCAGATCCACTTCCATGACCTGTGTTTTAAGTTTGTTTCCAAGACAAGTGTTATACAGTATTTGAATCAGACAACTCTATGGCATGCCCCTCTCGGCTGCACGTGCTCCCTTTCCTTCTCCCTCTCTTGCAGGGTCCCAAGGGGCCTCCAGGGGTACCAGGGTTCCAGGTAAGATACAGAATGGGAACGACAGGTGAAAAAATTCTGCACATTTATCGTAAAGCTAGTGCATGATGCCCTGATGCCTGAAACTGTTTCTGTCTCAGGGCCCGAGGGGACCTCCCGGATTGCCAGGCACTCCAGGTACCCCAGGTCTTGATGTAAGTACTGTACTAACATGGGAAATATTACAATGACAGTATGTGCTCGCTCCAGGCACCCCAGGTCTTAATGTAAGTACTAATTTGGGAAATATTACAATGACAGTATGTGCTCCTTCTCAAACACTATAATTTGAAATACTGTATCTGTATCTGTATCTGTATCTATAGCCGGCTGTTCTACGTGATGGAAAGCAAGGACTACCAGGACCTCCCGGTGACCCCGTATGTATACAAAACAAATTTCCATTACATTCCAGTTAGGAGCAGACAAAGCAGATTTTCTAAAAGAACCGAAAGCATTTGAAAGTTTGAATCTGTGCATTGAACTCGGCAGGGAAGAAAGTCTGTAAAATAGATTGCCAATTCCAGTCACTTAGAATTATATTTGATGAACATTTGTACTGCTGTTGTCCCTATAAAGTCAATTCTTTGTGCTTGAAACACTCTTAAGTCAATTTTGAATCAACCCCCTAGAGGGCTGTTACAGGGAAACTGTGCAGATTCAGGTGCTCTGCCTAGCCTCTCCTGGAGTGTATTACAAGAGGAACTAGAAGCAGCAGATCACAGAAGGTGCGGTGCTCAATGCTACATTCCCAGTACAAATCATTATGCGCTAGAGTTGATGTTTGCCGGGTGTTGAGGTTAGAAAGTATCACTAAATGTTCCCTTTTGCACTCTGTGTGACATTTAAGCATCTGGCACTGTATATCCTACGCCTGACATCTGATGAGAGGAGCCACATCGCTCTCTTGTATTGTTAGGTCTGCAAGGGAATTTGGCCCTGTCCCTGATCTATGCTAGTTTGCACTGCATCTTTCTGCTGACAGTGAGACCTCCTTTCACATCCTGCGAACTGCCTCAGGCCCATTTTGGGCTTTACACAGTGAGAAATCTGAATTTGCCATTAATACATCATTCAACAAGGAACGGTAGTCAATCATAGCTCCCCGATGAGCACACTTGTATGTGCATCTTTGCTACGTTCAGTCCTCAGGTGAAATTTGTGTTTAGATTGTTACGTATGATAAGCGATTAAACAAAGTTACAGTTCTAAGCCCTCTCCACTACATATTTGCTCTTACATTTACATCATGAAGGGTAACTCTTTACTTTCCTCAACCGTCACAATAATTATTTTCCCTCACATAAAAAGTCCAAATGCTATGAGCTGCTAGCTTGTAATCCATGCACACTCACCTCCACTCTCCCTCGTTATAGCTACAACAGACCGAGCACAAGCCAGCGATACGTCAGCACTTGAACCATATGATATGCCTTTTCCTCCACCACTTACTGTGCCTGTACCTCTGTAGCTATTAAAGTAATTGGAAAGTTGGTTAATGTCCAAAAGAAATGATGTTACATTTTCTTAATTCTCATATAATGTCATTACATCTTAGCTACTGGCAAAATGAATTAATTACTAGTAGGTAGCTATTCTACCTAGTTTCCTCTAAATTCTGAGTGAAATAAATGTAATATGTGTAATGTTCTACAAAGTCACATGGGATCAGGCCACTAAAGTCTTCAATTGCTTCTATAGTTGAGTTGGATTTGGATGGTATAGTTATATAGACACTGGGTGATATTTTGAAACTGGGAAATAGAGTGGGTCTGAAATTTGAGAGTTACAAAATCTAGTCCACACTGAGATAGCTTACCGGATAATTTTGGCAGACTCACCTATCATTCTGTCCTACTTCAGAAAGTTGTAAGAATAAAGTGGAGAGAAGGAGAAAGCCTTGCGCTCAGTGGAAACAAAATATAGGTTATACAAACAAATACATGCATGCTTGAATTGTGAGTTTATTCGGTGTCTTTACAATATTAAATAAAGGATAAACCATGTGCTGGAGGATTAAGAGAACACGTGTATGACTGTGTTTGATTACAGGTTGCTCTTCCTCTTCTTGGAGACGTGGGTACTTTGTTGAAGGTAACTGCATTTTCTGCAGCTGCTGCTGCTTTTCTATTTCCCATAAAGAGGAAATTGTATCTTCAGAGGCAACATTTTGATAGAATAGATGCCATCCTTTGGTACATTTATCAGTACACATTTGGGTTTTTGGTACATAAAGGTTCCTTGCTTGGTACTTATAGATGGCCTAATTATTAGAGGCAGTGACACATGCAGCAGTGGTGCAGATTCTGCCATTAGTCATAGATCCTAATATCTGCTCTTTAGTTCTGGTTCACCGTATACCAGAATAAGAAACAAAAGAAAGATGCATGCATGTGTGCAAAGTACCTCTTGGATAAGCACGCTGTCATGGATTTGCTTGACCATCATACTTACTAAGTTCACTCAAGGTCATATTCCAACTCATGTTGCATGTTTTCCACTAAAGAGGCTCACAACATGTCATGATATAAACACATGAGGGATATCTTGTTAATCTGGTTTCCCCTCTTTGTTCATGTCTGTCACACTAGAAAATCAATTCTCTGAATTACGTGAAGAGCATAGAGGAAGCTCTTGTCTACAGAAAGAGGGCAGAGGCCACAGAGGGAAGGGTAGATGGCATGCTTCCCTCCCCATATGTTTGTTCCATAATCCCAGAATAAGACTGATGTTCACCAATGGCTTCTCTCTCTAAAACGCAGATCATTTCTTCAGCAATTTCCACAGATCAGAAGGAGAATGAAAAAGCCTAGCCGCAGATGTGGCTATCTCCTGTGTACACATTTGGCTTAGTTGATTTGTGGCCCAATACAATGCAGAAAAATTAAATTAAAGGGAAAACATTATCCAAAGGTGGCCCAGTTAGGAGATCTGCCATTGTGACACTTCAGTGTCCCACATCCAACAGAAGAAAAATAGCCAGAGTGGATGTTTTTTCAAGGTGCTGATCTGCTTCCTCTACCACTGATTTCAGCGGAGGACATTAGAGCAGTGGTCCGCAACCTTGGGCCTCCGGCTGTTCTTGGACTACAACTCCCAGAAGCCTTCACCACCACCTCTGCTGGCCAGGATTTCTGGGAGTTGAAGCCCAAGAACATCTGGAGGCCCAAGTTTGGGGACCACTGCCTTAGAGAACATCTTTGGAAAATGGAGGAACATTGATTCCAGCAGATCCAAAACCACTCCCCCCCCCACTGCCCATATCCTCCATTGGGGTGTCTTCTGCTAGCACTGGAGCCATAGGAGATACAGGAATTCTTCCTCACCACGGCAGCCTCTGTTCACAGCCAGAGGAGGGCCTCTGCAGCATCTAACCCCCCACCTCTCAACTTCATCTGAGGGTTAGTTAGAATGGCCTAAATATGTAGCATTAATAAATTAATTTGAATTTAAACTAGATTTTTAGATTTCCAGCTATCGTGCTACCTTTGATGATCAGACTTAACTGATTTCTCCTTTTCAGATGGGAATTACATGACCTCGTTTTCATAAAATAATTTATTTTTTTCAAATCATCACCATCATCTCTGAGTCTTCTTTCTGTTGACTCTTCCTAAATTTCCCTCATGTGTTGTATCTGTTAACAACAGTGTTTTCCTCCCAGGAAGAAAATCTCACTTGGGATCAATTGCCACATGAGTGCCTCATTCATAAGTTGTTTGAGTTCACAATAGCAGAAAAGCGTTTATGCCCTCATAACTACCATAGCCTTCTATATTTGCAACAAAATGTTTATGGCAAATACTGGGCTAGAGTTTGAGGAATAAAAGAAGAGAAATGGGAGTAGGGGGAATATTTGACAAGGATGGCCATGAACCCAGTAAAGTATGACATTCATTGTGAATGTTCATGTTTTTATTACCTTATCCCAAAATTTCTGCCCACTGTTGTTGTTGTTGTTGTTTTCCTTTTTTTCCTTTTTTTTTGTCATTATCAGGGTGAACCTGGTATAAGAGGTCCTCCAGGAATCCCAGGCAGAGAAGGACCAAAGGTGAGTCCAGGAAGACAATAGAAAGTTTCCTGGCCAACGAAAACTTCATTGCTCATTCATATTTTGTCATTAAGTAGTATATGTGTTCTCTGTTGCATTAGTGCAGATGTGATTAATTTATTTAAATGATTGATTGTTCCAGCTGTAGTTGCTCCATAAGTCGTTAATGAAATGTCCACCTACAAACACAGGGAGAGTAGGGAAAAGCTAGCTAAGGGGTAATTACGTAATGCTGTGCCCCACTGGACAGAAAGAAATTAATTTGAACAGAGGAAGATTCCAAATGAAGGGATAGTTGCAAAGAGCTTTACTAAGTATAACTTATATCTGAGCAAACATTACAGGGGGAAATTGTCACTGTGTAATTAGTACTGCACTCTGACTGGATAGCTCAGATATCTGGCTGCAGAGGTTGGGAGTTTGATTCCCCACCCTGCCTCCTAAGAGTAGAGCCAGCCAGTGTGGCCTTGGCAAGCTACACAGTCCCAGGGCAGTCCCAGAAGAAGGGAAAGGTAAACCACTGCTGTGTATTCTCTACTTAGGAAACCCTGGAAAAGGTAGGCGTAAATCAGAATTGGCTTGGTGGCACATGATTATTACATATATCAACAGCTTGGCAGTCACCATTTTAATTTTGCATTCAGCTGATCTCAGAAAAAGTATCTTTCAATGGTACTGAAAGATTGTTATGTCAAAATTAGCATTGCCTTGCAAATGATCATAGCTTACTTATTCTGTCATTAGCATTATCCTCAAAATATGACCCTTGCAATTATCATATATAGCTGGCCTCTCATTCTTTCAGATGAATGAGTATTCTACTGTCCTCCTTTTATTGACCACTCCAGATTCAGAAACACAGGAATGCTGATGGATTAACCTAACATTATAAGAGTTGGCAGCAAAAAGAGCTTTTCAATCTCCTTTAAAAGCAGGTTCACATATGCATCTAAATATTTTTTATTTATGCTACTCAAAATCAAAAAAACCCTATGGATGTCTACTGAAAATTTAAGTCCTGTTGAAATGAATGGAATGTAATCATAGGTTAGTTAGCATTGGGTTCCAGTAGAGGTGGACACAAAACAAACCATGAACCAAGAAAAGGCCACAAACTGGGCCAGCTCATGGGTCACTTCAGGGAACCACAAATTCATGAAGCAAAGTGAAATGAAATGGAACACCGAACTTTTTTTATTACTGGTGTTTTGTTTTGCTTTGTCCCTACCCCACCCCCAGAAAGTTTCTCTTCATGGGCCCAACATCTACCATACTCACTCTGGGCCTCCTCCCTGCCTCTTTGCAGCTGAGTAGAACAGTAGGGTGTCTGGAGACTCCTTCCTGGGAGCTTCAGTTGTTGCGGGAAGTGTAGTTTTGCTGCCTATTGGGCTATGTACAAGGAACTAAAGAACTACACTTCCCATAATACCCTAAGCCTCCCAAGAACCAATGGGGCTGGAAGTAGGCCAAAGACGGCCTACTGTCCTACACAGAAAACTTCCCTTCATTGAGAGGTGGGCCTAAACCAAACAAACCATGAGCCTGTTCATTTTTAAAAAATATTCAGCATAGTGTGTAGTTTGACATCCATGGAAACTGACAAATCATGAACCACCATTGTGCTGGTTCATGCCCATTTCTCAGTTGCAGTATTAGATGTGGAGCTGTATGTCCAAACAAATTCAAGACACCATTTCATAACACAGTGTTATGGTCCAAGATTAGATATTAGCATGGATGAATTCAGCCCAGTTTGTAGAAATTCATCAGCACGGCACCATAGGTGCCATGCCTTCCCTCCCCCCATCCTCCAGCCAGCTGGCCCAGTCATGAGCTGGTGCACACCGCCTAGGTCCTCCTCCTCCAGCAGCTGTCCAGTCTGGGCAGGAGCTCAGTTCTCCTTTGCCTGCCTCCTCTGGCAGTCAACCACTCAGACAAGGGAGACAGGGATTCTTGCTGTAGAGCTGTTCAGTGGTCAGCCGCAAGAGGAGGTAGGGAAGGGAAATCTGAACTACTGCCCAGACTGTACAGCTGCCAGAGAAGGATGACCCGTGCAGTGTGCATCCACTTGTGAATGGGGCAGCTGGCTGAGGGGGTGAAGGAAGGAAATGTGCACCACCCGTGGTGCCATGCTGATGAATTTTTTATGAACTGGACCAAACTGATTCATGCCCATCTCTAACCAAGACATGTGAAGCACGTTCTGCCTTGTTCCTTCAACACAGTGGCTCCCTAATTTATATCCCAGATTTTTTGGGATTACAGATTTCAGAATCCCTGACCACTAGCCATGCCATGTGGGACTTTTGACAGTTGAAGTCCAGCATCTTTCATGGACCTAGGTTTGGGAAGCACTACAGTTTAGTGACATCCTGCTGTTTTTTGTTCCAAGGGGACTAAAGGTGAACGTGGATATCCTGGGCTTCCTGGAGAGAAAGGTGATGAGGTAAAAACCGTTTCTGTTCTGTTAGGATTTGATTTCCCATTATTTGAATGTAAATTACAAGAGGAGAAAAAACCCTTTCATTCCCTTTGCAAGTCTTCAGACTAGATTGTCAGGTAAGTGTATCTCGTTATCCCTTTTGACTAGGTAAAATTGTCACTCCTGGACCAACCCCAAATTCCATGCACTGTCATGAACTGTGAGGTTTCTCAAATGCCTAGTATGCACTAGGTTGTCAGGTAAGTGTGTCTCATTATCCCTTTTGACTAGGTAAAATTGTTACTCCTGCATGTTTCTTATCACATTTTTTGTAACAGACTAAATAAGCTTCTGACAATTTCAAAAAAAATGTGATGAGAAACATTCTACAATATCCCACATTCTTCACCCCTTCCTGCTCTATAAGTGGTTGTTTGACCAGATAGGCGGGATATAAATGAATTATGACAGTGTATGGAATTTGGGGTTGGCTAGCTGGCTTGTTGGCTGGCTGTTGGTACACAGATTAATTAATCATTGTAGTAGCTGTTTAGTTTTGATACCTTCAGATAAATAGTCTAGTGAATATGTTCTTAGGGCCTGTTTATTTTATTTATTTATTTATGTATTTTATATCCTGCCTATCTGGTCGGTTAAGACCACGCTAGGCGGCTAACAACATAAAATAACACAATAAATATATATAAAACAATTTTTACATGGTAGAAACATTTAAACAAGAAGGGAACTAATGGTAGGAAGGAGAAAGAAGAGGACATCAGGAATTGTCTGGAGGGAAGGCCTGCCGAAACATCCATGTTTTTAATTGATTTTTAAAGATACCCAGCGAGGGAGCCGCACAAATCTCAGGAGGTATGTTGTTCCAGAGGCAAGGAGCTACCGCCGAGAAGGCCCGATTTCTTGTCTTTTCCTTCCGGGCCTCCCTTGGCTTTAGGCTCCTCAACCTTACCTCCTGGCTTGCACGAGTGACACGGGTAGAACTTGGTGGAAATAGGCGTTCCGCCAAGTATCGAGGCCCTAAACCGTTTAGGGCTTTGTACGTAAGCACCAACCGGATGGGCAGCCAATGCAATGTGGCCAGAGTGGGTGAGATATGTTGATATTTTTTCACTCCACCTGTAGTTTCCGCAACAGCCTCAAAGGCATCCCCACGTAGAGCACATTGCAGTGGTCTAATCTTGAGATTACGAGCGCATGCACCAAGGTAGTGAGCACCCCAACATCAAGGTAGGACCGCAGCTGGGCTATCCACCTAAGATGGAAAAAGGCGGTACGGTCCACTGACGCCACCTGAGATTCCATAGTGAGCGGCGGGCCCAGATGGATCCCCAAGCTGCGGACCCCATCCCTGGCGGGCAAAGTCACCCCCCCAAAAGGGAGGGAGTTTCCCAAATCCCCAATTGTGGTGGCGCCCACCCTCAGTACCTCCATCTTGTCCGGGTTCAGCCTTAGCTCGTTCTCCTGCATCCATTGCTGTACAGTCCCCAGGCAGCGCTGAAGGGACAGCTCTCCCCCCACTCTCAATATTACTTCCATTGATTAGGGGAAATGTAATACATGAAGCAGTCTTTAGAGGAAAAGAGACCCATTATACACAGCATCTTTCCAATTGGTTTCAAAGATTGTGCCATGCAATTACAGCAATTCCGTTATGCCAGGGAATTCAGCATTATAGTATAGCATGCTATGGATAGTCAGAGCCAGCAACCACAAATTTCCTCTTAAACACTTGCACTGAGTTCTTCAGGGACAATCATGCCTCAATGAGTTTCAGGAACATTACATAGAATAAACTGAATGAAATCAGTATGTTGCCATTTACATCTTGCTAACACAAAGCAGGTGGCTTAGAGCTCTTTAAGTCCAGGCTTCTTGGAAACTTGTAACAAAGCACAGCAAAGGCTATGCAGTAGCTGCCAGATGTTGTCCCCTTCCGTAAGAAGAGTTCATCATTGCAGTGCTTTGGATGATACTGGTATGATGCAGTATTTTTTTTAAAAAAAAAAACATCATTTATTTAGCAATATTGCCAAAAAGCATATGGAACTGAAAAACTCCTCATTGAGGAAACTAGCTATGGTGCTGCCAGATGTTTCACAGTGGATTCCTCATTTGGGCAGGATTTTTAAACTTATATTATTTACATTGTATATCCTGTCCTTCCTCCAATGAGCTCAAGGCAGCCGTAATGCCAATTCAGTCCCATCCTGAAGCTCCAAAGTAGCAAAAAGAATGGGAAAATAAACCACAGGAGTAGAAGTATGTTATCCTTTGCCCTCAACTCTCCTTACGCTCAGTGTTCAGAGAGATGAGGAGCAGGGGGAAATGATTGCTTGAAAGCTGAGGATAATTCCCTGTTACCGAGATGGAAGAGCACAGGAGATAGGAAACCAGAATTAAAGAACAGGATAGAAGGCCAGTACATATAAAGAGAGGACATTCCAACACTGCACATCACTATGGACATCAGAAAGGGCATGACTATTAGCATCATGGGACATACCAGTACACAGATACATAGGAGAGAAGAGGACATGAAAAGTGCTAGCATTTTTTTAAAAAAAATTTGGGCTTTTAAAAAAATCTCAATTCCAAAAGCACTGGAATTTCACTGCAATTTGAATGAAATCCGAATAAGTCATCTGTCATTGCTCCAAATTAAACTGGTGACATCTGCGTCTAAACTGTACACTGGGATAATGTAGATTATATGTTTGGAAGAGCCCTTAAATTAATGAATATAAATGTAGTGATAAGCAGTGTGTAAAATATATAAAAGATGGGTGAAAGAAGCTTGGCTCCTAATCTCCCCTCATTTAATGCTTTTAGGAGATTACACTGAGTCATTCCCCACCCCCAGCAGTGCTACCAGCTTCCAGTGGTGATGAGCCACCACATGATGAGGTGAATATGTGATAATGGTGCTAGTTTAACACATAAGTACCAGCCAACCAACATGAGGTTTGGTGTATTTGAATTTAAGAAACTCAGTGGCATCATCAGGACTTTGGGATAAAACTGAAGGGTCCCAATCAATAGTAATAAGCAGTAGGACTTCCAGGCACAGTGTGAATAGTTTACCACATTTGAAAATGAAGCAGCATATATTGACTGAAATCCTGTTGGTTTGTTAGGCAAGTATCATTCAGTCACTCCTAGCTGGCATTAACAAGTCCCCGCTGGGATGCTCCGGGGTGCACATGCACTCTAGCTTGGCAAACACTTGAGAATCCAAGCAGGAACTCATTCATTGCCAGGTAGAAGTGACTGAATGTTATGCTCTTCCCTTCCTCATCTAAGAAATGCAGGTGGATGAGACCATTAGGTCCCAAATCTAAAATTACCTTCTTGGGCTATTAGAGAAACTTATTTTATTTTAAAATACAGGTATAGGTAGGATTTTGGTGCTGGTATGTATTCAAATGCTGCTGTATATTTTAAAGAGCTGCCAGCTGCCTGGATAGCTCAGTGGTTTAGATGTCTGACTGTGGAGCCAGTGGTTGGGAATGTATCTCCTGCACATAGAATCAGCCTGGGTGGCCTTCGGCAAGCTGCACAGTCCCGGGACATCCCTAGAAGGAGGGAACAGGAAACAACTTCTGAGTACTCTCTACCAGGAAAACCCTTAAAAGTGTCACCATAAGTCAACATTGACTTGATGGTACATGAATATTATTAATTTTTAAAGGTAAACAATTACAGCACTATATTTTAGAGACAAATAAATAAGCAGCATTATTTTACCATGGTGGCTTGTTGAGATCTTTCTGTACAGGAAAGGCAGCCACAGCAGCTGCAGAAACTCCAAACATCAGACTTCAAACAACTGTTATCAAAACCTTGCTGCTGAGAACTAAGCAGCAACGGAACAAGTATTAATAAAAAAGGCCAGTTTATAATTGGCACTTAGCCTTTTAAAAGGCTCCAGAGTAAGCTCGTGCCAACCAAACTTTTATTGGTTCAGCAGGGTGCTGCACTGACATTTTGGTTACAAAACTAGTGCCATCCTTCCCTCCTTAGGCAACCCAGCACTTTGCAATGGCTCTTACGTTTTAACAGTTGCTGTAGTTTAGTGCATCATAAGGGGGTGAATTAAGGTTACTTCGAGGAGAGTACACTGCAGAATAGTGATTTCATTAGTAGTGGGTCTGAAAAGAAATAATGTTTCAGGAGCAGTGGAAGACTGCCATAATGATTCTTTTTCACTTGACTTTGGACAACCCCATTAGAGATTTTATTTTATTTTTGGTGGGCGGGGGGGTTATCCTAAAATGCAGCTTATGCTGCAAACTGCCTCTAAATTTGTTCTTGCCTTATTTCCGTTTCATGTCCCTTGGTTTTTTAAATTATTGTGCCTACAAATTGGTTCCTAGCCAGCATAAGATTCACTTGTATTCAGAGTGCAAGTATTCAGGTAGAACGAGATGCTGACCATTCAACAGCCCACTGTGAAGAATTTGCACTGCATTTTGCAGACAAAGTCACTCGGATCTGCTCTGATTTGAACGCTGTAGTGATACCGTTCTTGTGGATGTAGTCTTGGCACCTGTTTCTCCTTTGATGACAGGCAGGTTTTAGTTTGTGCAGCCTGAGGTTGCAGCGGTGAAGGCCACCATGTGTGTGGTGGATCCTTGTCCGTCCTGGCTTATAAAACCAGCCAGGGGTGACTGAGTGGGTGTTAAGAAGGAAGGTGAATTCCTCTTTGCAGCAAGGTAGGACTCCAGCATGCCTGAAGGAGGAAATAATGAGCAGTGGTTTGTTTGTTTTTTTAAACTCCCCTTAAATCCCCTTAAATGTTGGGAAATTGTTGACCAATTGCCAGTGTTGCATTTTTGGAGCATATGGAGGCCTCTGAGCTCCAGAGGTTCCTGGACCAGATGGATTATCTGCATCCATTGCAAACTGGCTTCAGACCTAGTTGTGGAATGGAGACTGCTTTGGTTGCCTTGGTACTGTAGATAACCTATTCAAAGAACTGGACAAGGCAGTCTACCCATGTTTGTTCTGCTATATCTTTTGTTGGCTTTCAATACCATCAGCCGTGATATCCTTCTGTCTCTCTGGTACGAGATTTGAAGGCAGTGTTTTACAATAGCTTTGGTTCTTCCTGGAAGGGAGATGTCAGATCCCTGGTATGAGACTCGAAGGCAGTGTTTTACAATAGTTTTGGTTCTTCCTGGAAGGGAGATGTCAGAAACTGTGGAACTTCTGTTCAGTACTTTGCCCATTAGCTTTTCGTGTCCCTCAGGATTCCGTTCATCTGCCCATTACTCATTGCATACATGACATCACTGGGATAAATTGTGTAGAGTTTTGGATTTGCTGCCACCAGTATGCAGATGATGCCTAATTCTATCTCTTCTTTCCATCCAACTCCAAGGAAGCTGTTTCTGTTCTAAACCAGTGTCTGGCATCAGAAATGGACTGGATGAGGGCAAGAAGATTGAAATTTAATCCAGACAAGACAGAGGCACTCCTGACAATAGAAAGGCAGATCAGGGGAAAGAGATTCCAATTATGCAGGATAGCTTTACACACCCTTTTAAAATCCACGCTTGCAACGTGAGTGTACTGCTGGACTCACCTCTGAGTCTCAATGTTCAGGTCTTGACAATGGCCTGGATGGCATTCACACAGTTAAAACTGGAGGCCAGCTGTGCCCATTCCTTGAGATGTCTGATTCGGCTATGGTGACACATGCCTTAGTTGCACCCTGCTCGGATTACTGCTACTTGCTCTATGTGGGGCTACCTTTGAAGATGATTTGGAAACTTCAGTTCATTCAAAATGGTGCAGCCAGACTCAAGGCCAGGGCTGGTTACAGGGAGGATATAGTTCCTCTTTTACAAAAGATTCATTGGCTGCCGATCCTCTTCCAGCCCCAGTTCGAAATGCTTTTTATGGCCTATAAAACTTTATACAGTTTGGGGCCAAACTACTGTGTCTAAGGGATTGTATTTCCCCATATGCCGCCTTCTTGTCCTCTAACAACCTTAGGGGGCATCCTTTTCTCAGTCCTACTGCTGTTTCAGGCATGTTTGGTGGGAACCTAAGAGAGGGCTTCCTCTGTGGTTGCTTCCTGGTTGTGGAATGCCCTCCCTCTGGAGGCTCGGCTAGCTTCCTCCCTCTTGTCCTTCTGGTAACCTGGTTGCTTCTTAAACAGGCTTTTTAAACAACATTGGGAGTTTAAGCTGTTCTGTCATTTAAGGTGTGGAGTGTAAAATGTGTTTTAAAGGCTTTTAAATGTTTTTAAATGATAAATTTGGATTCTTCTATGTATAAGTGCTTTTAACTGAATAACTTACTGTGCTTTCACTTTCACTTGTGTTTTAATTATTGACCTGCCTTGAGTCCCTTTATGAGAAAAAGGTGGCATAAAAATTAGACAGACAGACAGACAGACAGACAGATAGACAGACAGATAGACAGACAGATAGATTTCTAACCTAAGCATAATAAAGTGGTTTAAGCAACTATCTCTCTGTTTGTTATATCTCTGTGAGTGAGTTGTATGCTTTACACCAGTGGTTCTTAACCTTTGTTACTCAGATGCTTTTGAACTGCAACTCCCAGAAACCCCAGTCAGTACAGCAGGTGGTGAAGGCTTCTGGGAGTTGCAGTCCAAAACTCCTGAGTAACCCAAGGTTAAGAACCAGTGCTTTACACACCTGCTTAGGCTGTCTGTTGTACCCCAGATCTGTGGTCCACAGAAGGTTCTGTTTTCTTGTTGTAGTCACGAACAAACAGTCCTTGAGCTCTGTGCACAAGCTACCAACAAATGCTACCATATGGATCCATGAAAACATGTTGTATGTTATGTTGTATCCCACACAACACCGGATTTAGGAAGTACTCAAGTATAGAGAGGTACAAATCAAGGCCTCCTGCAAATATATTCTGTTCATACTGTATCCCACATGAAGCATAGATGTAAAGGTTCCCTTTGACATTTAGTCCAGTCGTGTCTAGAAATGTTTGTCTGGTGACAATGCTCAGTATTTCTGCATTAAATAGAACTAAAAGTTGCCAAGACAAAGCTATGCAAATAGTCTTCCATGTATCTCTCCCTTAGTTATTAATTGATGTGATGCAACCAGATGTGTATCTATTTGAAGACACCCATGCTTAAGAACAGATAACCAAGTGAGTTCCCAGACCATGAAATAGATTAATGTTAACTTTTTCACACAAAACTATATACTAGCTCATTGCATCTTGTAACATCAATCAGTCAATCAATCAATCAATCAATCAATCAATTAATCAATCAAACAAACAGAAAAATTAAGCAAATCTAGGATAACTCTAGCTTATTTGTTGTATGACTTAACAGATCATTGCATTAGCAAAGAGAACACTATAATTACAGTGCAGCCTATCAGATCACACTTATAAATCTTACCAGAACCGTTTCAGACAACTGTGCCTTTGAACAAGACAGATTTAATTATCAGGGCCTAAACTTTTATTCCCAAATGGAACACATTCAATAAATAAATATGCATTTGCCAAGCCAACATTTACACAAGTTTCACTTATTCTTTAGATCCAACTGTAGTCAGGTATAACTTTGGATTTAGAGCTCACCTGAAAATCTTATAAAAGGAAAAATGGAAGGGAAGCTGGTATATTGTCTTAAACAACATTTTTACTATATAGATTTAATGTATTATTTCAAAGCAAACTGAAAAATAATAATATAACTATGTAGAAAACTACCTACCTACCTACCTACCTACCTACCTACCTACCTACCTACCTACCTACCTACCTACATACATACATACATACATACCTACATACCTACATACCTACATACCTACATACCTACATACATACATACATACATACATACATACATACATACATACATACATACATACATACATACATACATACATGATTTTTTTTCCTTTGTTTTTTTCAGGGGCTTCAAGGGATTCCCGGACTTCCAGGTGTAGCAGGTCTTACAGGACCTTCTGTAAGTATGTGTTCTGTGGCAGGCCATTCTGTTTTGTATCTTAGGCGTCGTGACTGGCCTTCATGCCTCCTGTCTAGAACTACAAAAGCAAAAATCACAAAGACCAAAAAGACTGCCAAGGACCTAGCAGATTATGGGACATTCATGGGATATGGGAAGAAGACAGGGGCAGTTCCTCAGCTTTCCTTTAGTGTAGTTATCACCTTTCATCCACTGTAGAGCAAGGGCCCTTGTACAAGATAAATTTCCAGCCCCATTCTCTCACCTTACCCCCCCCCCCGGATGCTTCTAAATGCCTCGCCAAAGAGCCAAGGTCCCTCTGGAAAGAAGTGAGATGTGTGACTGGCTTGAAGTAAACGTGAGTGGAGATTCTTTGGACATGTTGCTCCCTCAGAACTGGCTGGGGAGTTGTTTTAGCAGGAGATGGTTTGAGGAATTCCCTTTGCAAAAGTATCTTTGCACTTGTGCTGTGTTGGATGCCACCCAACATTCTTGATTTGACAAACTGTAATGAACAGCATTTGAACACTGCTGTTGACATTTGAAGAGACACCATAATATCAAGAGGTGTTAATATCAAGCTGGCAGAGATAGGCGGGAGTGGGTGGCAATGCAATGAGAAATGTCACTTTCACCCACCATATCTTTAAAATGAGTTCCACACCCCATGGGGCATGGGCAGCATGCAGCCCTTGTCTCAGAAATATACTAGATAGGACTATTGCAATTCTCTCTGCAGAGGGTTGGTGCAGCCCTTGTCTCAGAAATATAATGGTAATGCAAAGCTTCATCACAACTAGATACGACTATTGCAATTCTCTCTGCAGAGGGTTGCTTTGGAAGCGTTTTGGCAACTTCTTTTTTCCAAAGTTGGGTATTTCAGCTTTGTCTAGTATGTGATAGCAAAGGTCTTGGTGGGCATACATCTCTGAGATTGTGTTACACCTAGCCTGCAGCACCTGCTCTGATGGCCAGTTTGTTTTAATCATAATACAAGTTGTTGATAATTATTTTAAAATAATCCTGAAGGACTGCTGTTTATAGCTAGCCTGTCTACTCATGAAATCAAATGGAGATGCCCATATCTATGTCCCATCTAAGCTGAGTGAGCTAAGGGACAGGGCCTTCTTCATGATTATATTAATATCAGTGCCACGGGACACCTTGCCAGCCAATGAATATGTTTTTATTCTGTGATCTTTTATCTGAAGAACATGGTGTTCTCTATTTTTACACCTTCTCTTGTATTTTATTGACACTGTACTGAGTTTGTGATCATAGTGCCTGATCTGCATGATGCATATATATAAGAAGGTGGACTGTGCATTATTTAAATAACATTGGAGTGGCATTAGTGAACATTGTCAAAATAGGAAATAGTGGTCTATAACTTTTAAAAAATGTCAATCAATCTTATGTTTTATAGGGGGCAGTAGGAAGAACTGGACATCCAGGTGCTCCAGGTCTGAAAGGTGAAAAGGTGTGTTATTCTTTTATGTACACAGTTAAGCATCTGAAACTGCTTTTACTGTTAGTTTGTTGCACTGATATTTTCCTCAAAGATAGTTAAGTGAGATGGGAGAGTCGAATCAGTGCAGTGTTTAACATTGCTCATGTCAAACTGTAAAGTGTTTGGAAATGCCAAGAGTTAAGGTCTCAGTAAAACAAACTAATTATACTGCATATCAATATGTGCTCTTTTCTTCCTTTAGTAACAGAATACATCAATGTGCCAGCTTATAGTTTGGCTGTACCACTTGAGACTTTATGACAGTTGCTGAGATGCATTGTGCTTTACTTCAGGTCTCCCAACAAGTAAGGTTGCCACGTCAGGAATATCAGCTGAGAACTAGGGGCAGGCCTATGTGACATCAGATGGGCTGGTCCTGTATGATGGTATGGGGTAGACCCTTTGGAACAGCTGCAAAATGTTGTGTGTCTGACATGTGGAGGATGTTGAGACTCTATGATGATTTTAAAGGCTAATGTGTGAATTCTAGAAGCACCAGCTTCATTAAGTGGCACCAGCATACAACTCAGTGGAAAGAAAGCAGGTCAGATGTCCTTTCTTGAAAGCATAAGAACGAACCCCTAAATCTGAGTTAGTAGCATTCCATTCTTTGAATGTTCAGGTCCAAAGCCTGGAACTTGCATAATGGACTCCAACACCTGAGCGTTGGGAGCCAAATTGGAGACCTGCAAACCCTACTCACTTACAATATATGGAATCGCAAAGAATCTGATAGTCCTCCCATTGTTGTTGCTTATGTGAGTGTGCAAAAATATTATGGTAATCCAGCATCTGTTGGTCACAGTATATGGTCAGCAGGCTTCTTTTAAATTGGTGATGAAATACATTGTACGGGTCTCTATGACAAGGGAGGAGTCATAACAACAGAACGCACAATCTGCACAGAGGAGGTGCTAGGTTTGCTCCCTGCTAGCATCTCCAGTAAAAAGGAACATGTAACCTGAAAACCTGAAGAGCCAGTGCCAGAGCAGACCATACTCATCTTGAAGATCAGATATTCTGGGCTGTAATGAAGCAACTTAATATTGAAGTAGATCGCAGCTGCCGGATTGTACAGCCAGCTCTATTATAGCCCTTCCATATGCACTGGAAAGCTTTTTGGAAGAAATAATGAGGAGAGAGATGAAGGCTTACAACAGAGACATTCTCCCAGTCCCCCAAGGCAGCAGCTTCACTAAAATCAGACCTCATTTGGTCCGATATTTCCACCTTTGCTTTATTCTACCTGTATAGTAGAGACGTGGTGGCGCTGTGGGTTAAACCACAGAAGCCTCTGTGCTGTAAGAAGGTCTGTAGATCTTCAGCTGTAAGATTGAATCCACGTGATGGAGTGAGCACCCATCACTTATCCCAGCTCCCGCCAACCTAGTGGTTTGAAAGCATGCAAATGCGAGTAGATAAATAGGTACCACCTCGGTGGGAAGGTAACAGCGTTCCGTGTCTAAGTCGCACTGGCCATGTGACCATGGAAGATTGTCTTCGGACAAACGCTGGCTCTATGGCTTGGAAACAGGGATGAGCTCCCTAGAGTCGAACACAACTGGACATAAATTGTCAAGGGGAACCTTTACCTTTACCTTTTTACCTGTATAGTATTGTCAAGCATTATTACCGTCTTTGAGTTGTTCCTAGAAGATTTCAGACAACCACAATAACTCTGAATTCCCCACCTATTTTATTCAGCAGTTCTGCTTTTCTGAGAAGTGTATTGTTGCTAATACAATACTGTAGTTCATAATATGTGGATCATTGGATCAACAGGAGGCAAAAGTCAAAAACTAAGCCCTAGGCATGCATATATTGCTCGAATGTGATCTGTGCATAATATGTTTACAGCGCGATAAATGTAGATGAGTTTTCACGAAGCTGTATGAAATGTTTGGAAGGTTTTAATGTCAGCAGCAGTCCTCAGCTCCCACAGACCGCCTGTGGTTCTCAACCTTCTGCTGAGGAATCGGAGTCTAAGACAACAGAGATGGCCAGCCACATCAATCTGTTCCACATTGCCACCAACACAATCTGTTACATGAAAAAATGATAGACCTTCTGTTATTGTCTGATGTGAAGACAATTTTGTCAGTTTGAATTGATGAAGGCTGTTTTTCTTTTCTTTTTTTCCTTTTGGAAATAAAAAGTTAGAGTTTTATCATCAATATTGTATTCTCATCTCTTTCTGGCCTTATCATTCTCTGTAATAACTTGCCAGCTCGATTCTGTGTTTCACTGCAAGGCAGCTTCTAACAGTATGGTATAATGCACACAACATGCCGTGAAAGCTTTAATATTTGTCTACTTACAGTTTTTAGCTTTTAAATATTGTCTTTTTGGTGATGTAAGCTACCTTGAGTCCTTTTGGGGAGAAGGGCTGGGTAAAAACAGAATAAAGAATTTGCAAACTTTAATTGCATGATTCTCTCCCACTTGCTGAAAGCAAATCCTGTTTCACCATTGTGCTCCATTTGATTGAAAACATCACTTCCAAATTCAAATGTATATGAGAGCTTTCATTTTACATTCCTTTTATACAAAAGATACTAATAAGCATAGGTGTTACTTCTATCCTACTGAATTGTGTTTTTAGAAGAATTAGTTGCATGAAAGAGAGCATTGCACATGTTTGTTACGGCAGTCTATGCTTTTGCACAGTGGGTAAGAGGAAGCCCCCAGTTCAACAAGAATGCTTTGCATGTGAAAACCTTGGGTTATGGTACTATAAAATATATATCTCATAGAATAGATCCAGCAGCACCATCGACTCTATTAAGTCAAATAAGGTGGTGGCCCACCATAGCCTATCCCCAACTGCCCACTCCTCCTTTCTTCCTCATTGCAGGCAGAGGAGAATCAGGGCCCATTTGTGCTATCCTCTTGCTGGACCCCTAGCTGTGGGATTGGGAAGGGAGAAAAGGGAAGCAGCAGCAGCAGCAGGTTGAAATATTTCCAATTTGGAGGCAGGTGTATTTTTATGCTCCTCAGCTGAGTTCTGGAGTCAATGGGATGTGGGCAGGGCAATGTCAAAGTGAACGCTTGCCTTCATGTGTGTGCACATGCCTGTATGAATGTCTACCTTTGCCTCTCCTTTGCCTGTCACGATGGCTCCTTGCGCCATTTGCTGCTGTGCCTTTTGTCCCACACCACCACAACAGGCACCAGCCGACATTCTGTTCTGGGTTACCAAAGGAGAAGGGAAGTCATTTGAGGTGTTCCTTCCTTTTCCACCCAAATATTTGCTCAGGAGAATTCAAAGATCTTCTGAATTAGCATGGGAGATGGTATGGAAAACTGCAAAAAAGAAGGGGTGTGTGTGATTAAATCTTAAAAGAGCCTCTCCTTCCTCTTCTATGAATCGCACCTTTTGTTAAACGACAAGCTCTCTTGCTGATGGAAGGACGTCTTACTCAAGATTACTATTCATGGCAGTTGTTTTTAATATTATAGCAATGTTTATATTCCATTTTTGTAAACTAAGGAGCTATGTACCTCTGTATTTAGTTCATTTTTAAGTAATAGGCTAAAGGTACTCCTGGGATAATATGTTGCCACATTTGATTCATGACGTATCTGCATGTATAGTCACAGTGACCACAAAGAGTTAATAGTCACAGTGTTGTTTTTTTCTTTTGGTGCAGGGTAATGAGGGAGCTCCTGGGAAACCTGGACCTCCAGGACCCCCTGTAAGTAAACGGGAAAGTAAAGATATAAATAAATGATAAATAAATACTGACAATGGCCAGGGTCCTAAAATATTGGAAAGCTGCTACTAGTGAGAATGCTGACACTTGCCATATAATTTCTTTATTGCGTCTTGACTTTCAACAGGGAAAAAAAAATTCCCCATTGCCACACTATGTGGACAAATTTTTTGTGACACATCGCATCATAAAATAATGGGATGTGCTTCCCGATAAGAGAAATCAGATATTTTACTCTGAAAGTTAGATTTCTTGACTTGTTAGGGTTGCTGTTGCCGTTGTTATCGGCTTCTCCTACTTCTTCTTCTTAATCTTTTCTTTTTTCTCAGGGTGTGCCATACAATGAAAGAAATGGCATGAGTAGCCTATACAAACTGCAGGTATTTATTTTAACGGTTTATAAGTCAGAATTCTTTGGTTACACTACATTTTCCATGAATTCAAATGCCATGTTTCCCTACTCCAGGGAGGTGCCAACGTTGCAAGCTATCCTGGTCCACCTGGACCCCCTGTAAGTATGACATCATAATAATGATCTGCATATTTCTGAAAATAAATTAAATTGGACATACCTGACAGTTATCTATGATATACTAGGTAAAGTCAGAACCAGTGGTAGTGATCTTTTTGTATATCAATGGCTCCCCCACCCCATCTCAAGGCTCTCAGAGGCTTACCCAGGTTTTAAAAAAGGATTCTCAGGGACTCTCTGAACCTCAGAGGGGGATAGGCTTTAAATTAAATTAAATTAAATTAAAGCGTGACATTTCCAAGTGATGATGTCATTATTTATGCCCACATACTTGCATAACAGGAGGACATTTCCAAGTGATGATGTCATTGTCATTTATGCCCACATACTTGCATAACAGGAGTTCAGCCAGGGGACTTTATTAATGTGCAGTATTAATCATGTCATGATTGTTGCCTTTGTAGTTTGTTGCATTTTATAAGTGACTTTTAAAAACATTTTTTGGCTCTGTGAACTTATTTGTGGGAGGAAAAGTAAATCTGAAATTTTCCCAAGTGAATTAATCATAAATTTATTTATTTATTCATTCATTCATTTATTCATTTATTTATATGCTGCTCCATTAGCCAAACAATAAAAAACAAAACAATAAATCAAAAATGGGATAAAAACAAAAGTAGAATAAACATCTCAAGTACAAATGCCAAGGTAGTGTAGCGCTACATAATAAAATGGTAAGTCAATGGCAGAAAAAAAATCATATAAAGTTGCCATCAAATCTCATAATAAATTATTATTAGCCAGCTAATTAGATATAGAAAAACTTGTTTAATTAAATGGACTTAAGCTTTCCCAATGCTGAATAAGTAAGCCCAGATGTGCAGGAAATCCTGAAATCCTGGATTTTTTTGAACTGCGAAGACAGGAATACCTGACAAATATGAACAGTTTCATTGGTATTCTGCCCTCTGTATTTTTTTAATTGACAACAGTTACAATTTTTTCCTTTATGATTCCAATTGTGTTTCAGATTGGAAGAATGAGAGAAAGCAGGATTTTTTTAAAAAGATGCAAATAAATGACAAATGAATAACATGTTTGTACAACCTTCCTTTGTCTTTTAGGGCCCAAAAGGTGACACTGGAGCAGTGGTATGTACCTGATTAAAATATCTCTTAAACATTTAGTTGTTGAATTCCTCTTCAGCAGGAAGTTGGACTTGATGGCCCCTTTGAGCTAAAGAGTTCTGTTATTTGATATCATGGAGAACAAACCTTTGACAAACATTGGACATGACTAGATGAGGAAAGTTGGAGCAATCTGGTTAGGGCTTAAAAAGCTCTTATCTTTGGCGTGATCTATTTTATGTTGCACTTGATGGGTCCTTCCATTTACATGGGAGACATTTCTTCTTCCATGAGAAGGATCCAGACAGCTTTCCAGATTGCTCCAATTACTCCCCCCCTTTGGATTATTGATATTCCCTTCCCCATCTTCTTCCCTGTCTTTTGTTGTGGCCATCATTCGGCAGACTGTAGCAGCGTCCCCCACTTTTTTTTTTTGTCGATGATTAAATTTAGTGAGTGGCATAGCACTACAGCAATGCATCAGCCTAGCGTGGTAAACATGCCTGCCTGCACATACGATATATATTTCTTTCCAATGACTCAGTGCTGCATCAGATATGATACGGATAAGGATGGATGCTCCCTTATATCTGAAATAGTATTGCAGCACTTAGAATATTTCAAAAATTAATGAAAAGAGGGGGTTTCTCCTTCTACTGTCACAACCCACTGCATATGTCACAGGGCTGTCCTCCAAGAGGATACAGGTCTATTCGGGCATAGATTAAGCAACTACATAGACAAACAAATGGGATAATCAGGAGTGCTCCCAATAGCATCAACTATACTGCAGCCCTAGTGCTGTTCCAGAAAGGAATGGGACATCTTACAAAAGGAGCAGGATGAATCCCTCTTTCCGAAAACACATGCAGTTGCCAGAAAACAGGGTGAATGAAACAGCATCAAAACTAACCAAATAGTGAGCTATATACTCATCTGATTGCCCTTATTCCTTCAAGCTGCCCTCATTCAGAGCCATTTACTAATCCAGAAGAAAAACCAAAGAAGTCTGTTTCCTGTTTGGATTTTCCCTCTTGCCAGCCTAGACAATTACCCTGTGTTTGTTTTTACACTGCTGACTTCACACTGCCTTTTTTTAAAAGTAAGAATGTTTCTGATAAAACACAACCTTGCTTGCTTTACTCTGTATATGCCATGTGACATAGCACTGACTAGCAGTATATGAGGGCATAAAATCACGTGACCACTCTCTGTAAAAATAATAACCAGAAGATGTAAAATGAAAGGAAATTTATTTTTAAGAAATACACAGAGGAACAAAATTCATTTAACAGGTTAAAGTAAAATATGAGAGCAATGTTTCAAGCTATCAGTTGTTCAATATAAGACTTCACTGTCTTCTTTATAACATAAAACACTTATAGTTCTTTATACATATACAGATAGCTACTTGCTTTGAAACAAATTTGAAGAGCACACTTCTACACTCTTACTCATACTTCTCACAGGTCTAACTAGCTTTATCCTAACTAACACATATCTCTTACTCAGCTGACTATATCTCTAACTAACACATATCTCTTGTTCAGCCAGGTACCCCACAGACCAGTTAGATCACACTTCCATTCATAAACATTCTTCCCTCCATCTCAGCTAATGGACACTCATGACACACATCCTATATACAACCGTCAGTCAACCCCAGAAACCTATCATGCAAGCCAATACAAATTTGTATACAAACTAAGTGTAGGTACAAAACTACTAGATCTGCTAATGTGGTGTAGTGGATAGAGTGTGAGACTAGGAGTTAGAAAATCTGTGGTCAAATCCCTACTGACCTATGAAGCCCACGGGTGTGTGTGCATGGATAAAGCCACTCCTTAAATATCTCACTTATCTTAAAAGCCCTATTAAGGTAACTATAAGTTGGTTCCAACTTGATGACACATAATAACAATAAAAACACAATTACTACAGAAGGTTTCTGTGTTTGGACTAAAATCAGGTAAAAGTTGACCTTGATAAATTTTACTCATCAGAGGTTTCATCCATGCCCGACTGAAACTTTTAATCAAAATTTCAATATTTGTTCAAATTGTTGAGTCAGAAAGCAATTCACATTCTCAAGGTTTTAAAAACTGAATAGGGCAAAATTGGCATCTCTAAGTAAACATGGTGCTTGAGAGCTTGCAAAATGTTTGCATAAAGTATGTCTAGCTTACTTTAGGATATAAAACTCTCAAGTAATCATTTTTTATTTTTTTTAAACAAGGGTGAACCAGGCCCAATGGGGTTACCAGGACTAGAAGGACTTCCAGGAGAAAAGGCAAGCATTTTAAGAATGAAACCTGATCTATCTTTTCCTGACAAGTTTGACTATATTAGTGGTTGGCCTTGCTCACGCTTTTGTATACCTCGATTGCCTATCGATGTTGACAAAATATATTTTCTCAGTCCATGGCACACTAGTGGAAGACAACCTAACTCACTAACATTTTTACAGCACAATTGAATTTTTTAGGGAAACTGATAATCCGTGTGTTTTGAAATATAGCATACCTGTCATGGAAATTAAGTGTGGCTGCTTACATAAGGAAGACTTGGAGTAAACTATTGGAAAGGATGAGGTGAGGACACCCACTCAACACTGGTGACACCCAGGAAATGTTGGGGCATTTTCCCACTGGCAAAGACACTGGCCTTGCAACTTTTCACTGTAAAGCATTGCGCTAGTGGATTTTACCCCATGAATCTAACTTGAGTGGGAATTCAAACACAAAGCTAATTTTGCCATTTAGCAAAAGGAAATGAAATCAGCCTTCCTGTGCCATCTCTGAATTCTCATCCACTATTATTTTAGCTATGTCTCAGATATTTTTCTTTCACTCATTGCAGAGTTTTGATTTGACTTCAGTAAGGGATAAGAGTTCGAAAGACACCAAGCAGCTGCTATTTGTCTCCTCCTCTGTCTCCATTAAAGGACACACAGGCACAGCAGCTGCTCCAATTTCAGAAGCCACTGCAAGCCTTTTAGATGGGAGGTGAATTGTGGAGGGGAAATCAGATAACAAGGTCATTGCCCCTTGGCCAGCAGCTGCCATTGATGAGAACAGACAGGACAGCCAATGAGGTGCTTGTTTCTTTATTATGATGGAACCAAAGGCAGTGAGGTCAGGTTATCCATCAGTCTTCTGTATTCAGATAAGTTAATTTTGTTAAGGCTTTTTACAGGCTTCATTGAAGACAAACTGGGAGGCAAGTTGTGATAATCATGTTAATCATGTTGTTAGGGCTGGATTTTTCTTCAGTATACTACACATGAAATCAATGAATAACATGTGATTATTCTAACACACTGCAGAGAGAAAATTAGTATTAGAATTAACTGAAGAACAAAATCTTCTGTGAGATTTTGGTATCTGTTTCTTTCATTTAACACAGTCAGTGGACACAGGCGATTGTACTTCAGACTCCTGCAGTAGTATATTGATAATCTGATAGAGAAATGCTCAATTTCTCACATTTGTACCATGCTATTCATTAAATTGTATGCACACTTTTTCCTACAAAAAGGTGCTGCCACGTATACTGTAGAATTTGAGCATGGGGTTTCCATGTATAGCCAGGTCTTCCCAACCTGGTCTAGCCATACACATGAGCAGATGGAAACCTACGTAGGACAGCAGTGATCTGATACTGTGCCTTCCTTTGGTATGTAAAATGAACACAGAGGCCAGACAGGGTGTCAGTCACATTATTTGCTCAAACACCCATTAAACCCATTAGTTTTTATTTGCCTTCCAGAGTCTGTCAGACCCTTTATCAAAACATTGAACTTTTGAAGTTATTTTAAAATACTATAATGCAACATCTCTTCTTTTAGGGAGACCGGGGACCAGCGGGTCCTCCAGGAGTACCAGGGGTACCCGTAAGTATGCTGTTAAAGAAGCTGATTTCATACTGAGAAAAATAATATCAGTTGCAGTACATGAAATATTAGTAATTTCTGCTGGAAAAATACTGAATATGAATATATGCACAAAGATGCCTTCTCTGTGGGAAATAATACTTTGGTTTGACACCTGTATCTAAAAAAAGTGCTCAATATTCTGAATTGAATATGATACCTAATCCTTCACAATGCTCAGTTCTTTCTCCAAGGCAACACAACTTTCTTGTTGCTAGGCTCTCTACCAGAGCTTCCAGCCTAGTCTCTTTTAAATCCAGCTTTCCCATCCACTTGCCTCCCAGCCTCCAGTTTCTATACCCTTCTGCTACAGTAAAGTTTTCACCTAGAAAAAGCCAATATTGTTCCCTCATACCTGACACAGACCTGAAAGAATCTTTGCCAGTCTCACTCAGACCTTAAGGGAGAATTTTACACATAAATGTGTGCTTCTAAAGCAGACCAGTTCCTTTTGGTATGCACCTAAGCAGCTATAACGTGAATCTGAAAAAAACTTCATTTCAGTCAAAACTTTGCTGTTGTTAAAACAAAATACAGTGCTCATAATCCTGTTGTGTAGCAATGCCTGCATAACTTGAAGTTAATCAAGCAGTTGCAAAATTCAGGCTAACATGGAGGCCATATAGAGGAAGCAGTTCCACAGACAGTTTTTTTCAACTAGTTGAAATATCAGTTCTGCAATCAGGCACACAATGTGAAATACTTTGCCGTAACTCCCTATGATTCTCTCCAGGTGTAACTACACTACAGTGCGTGTAATAGGATTCCAAACACCTGAACTGAAACATTGACTTGCTGGTTTTCAGCCTTTCAGAAAGTAAATAAATTGAAGTTATTGCCATTTTTATGTACAATAACAGTTTTTAAAATGGGTCATTCGGGCTTTAAGTAACAAAAAAGTGTGTACAGATTAAATAACTAGCATTGGAACATCTCCACACAGTTGTGAAATAGTTTTGATCATGAAACTATTTCATGATTTTTAATACAATCAGCAGTTACACAGTTTTCATTCATTTCAGCTTGAATTCCTGCTGCCCATTGTATTATGGGATTTATAGTCCACCGGGAGAAAAAATGCCAGTTTAGGAAAAATAATTCCAAAGGGACTTTTAAAAAGCATTCTTAAAGGTGCCAATGGCTAGTGAGCTAGTAAGGGGACACTAGTGACGACCTAGATGCCATTCTCTATAAACCCCACTGTTTATTTAAAAATAGTGATTTGACCAGTTAATTAATAACAACAGTCCAACAAATTAAACATTTTTAGACTTAATTTGTTGATGTTATCTGTGAAGATTCTCAGTCATCCAGGTGAGGTTATCTGGAAGTTGAGTCATGGCAACTGGACTTCTTTCTTGTTAGGTTGAAAGGTTTCGCTACTCAATCAAGTACCGTAGCTTCTTCAGTCTGAAGAGAATTGGTAATCAAGTAGCTTCTTCAGTCTGAAGAGAATTGGTAGGAGGATCATGTTGGTTTCACTTTCCCCTGATCTTAATAGGCCTGTTAGATGAACAAAGGATGAAGTGGGGGGAGTGAAACTCCCACTTCTGCAGTCCTTCTCCACCCTGCAGAAGTGGGATTTTCACTCCCCCCACTTCATCCTTTGTTCATCTAACAGGCCTATTAAGATCAGGGGAAAGTGAAACCAACATGATCCTCCTACCAATTCTCTTCAGACTGAAGAAGCTACTTGGATAAGTAGTGAAACATTGAAACATTTCAACCTAAGAAGAAAGATGTCCAGGAAGAAAGATGTCCAGTTGCTCGGACTCAACTTTCAGGTCTGACGCTCCGAACTCTGGAACAATCAGATCACCACTAAATCAGTTCTCAATTTGAATCAGGACCTGAACTGAATCCCTTGCTCAGTACTAATTTTAAGTCATGTCCTTTTTTTTTTCTTTGTTTACATAGGGAAAACATGGTGCATCAGGACCCCCAGGGATGCCTGGTGAACCAGTAAGTGCACCTTCATTAGACTTTCTACCTGTGAAATCTTAGTACACAATATTGACATTGTAAATCATCAGGGAAAATATTCTATTTCCTTCAGGGTGAAAGAGGTCCTATTGGAGACATTGGCTTTCCTGGGCCAGAAGGACCACCTGGAATACCTGTAAGTAATTAATCTGTAACTTCTTGTTCCTCCTAATATAAAACTTCATCTAGCTCTGTCTGTGGATGCAGTTATGAAGAAATTTACTATGATTCATGTTCTAATATGCACCCTCTTATGTGATATTATTTATTTATTCATTCTATTCCCGTACTGCCCCACTTTAATTTGTCTCTCAGGGGCTTTACAACCAACACAATACCATACTGCCCCACTTCAATTGGCTCTCAGGGGCTTTACAACCAACACAATACCAATGATAATATAATATAGTTATATATAAAACAGAAAGAGGATAATAACTGGCAATTAGAAGCAGCAGTTGAAACCATTCAAGGCTGTAGATCTCTTGGCACCTAATGCCATTCAATTCTTAGGATGTACTTCAGCACCGAGAATGCTTAGGATTGAGCTGTAAACACTTTAAAGGTTTGGGAAATTAGAGAAACGTCTTCTCCGGCTGCTGAAGGGACAGTGGTACAGATATCCGGCAAGCCTTCCTGGAGGGCAAGTTCCATATTCTTCAATAGTGTTGCTCAAGCTCCCCAGAAGAGAGCATCGGAGTGGCTGAAATCCAGTTGTAAGTCACCACTAGAGTAGGCCCACTGACTCTATGGAAGTTATGGAGGAACTGACTCACCAAATTCCCACTGATTCAATGGGCCTATTGTAGTTGTAACTTGCAACTGGATTTTAGCCAGTGAGTCATTCAGTTGCCATATTTTTTTTTAAAAAAGTAACAACATTATCCCATACAAGGAATGATGTTTAATGTGTGAACCACCAAACTTGGGTCTTAAGATATCTAATGCTTCTCATGAGAGGAACTTTAAAAACTTTCTAAATAACAAAAGCTTTGTTATTTTTCTAGGGCATAAATGGAAAGGATGGATTGACTGGCCCTCAGGTAAGAAGTAGCTTGTTCTTTCTGTTTTTTGTGCAAAGTTGGCATCATTCAGTTTTTGGCCACAGGGGAATATCGGATGAGCTATTTTAGGAAGATGCTTAGATTCTTAAAGGTGTCTTTCCATTCTTTCCCTCAGGGTTCATTGGGTAAACCTGGTGACAGAGGCCCCAAAGGAGAACGTGTAAGTTTGATTTTTACATATAGCTAAGTTACTTTTTAGCATGATAATAACGTTAGTTATTTATTTTATTTATTTTTTTATTTATTCTATTTAATACACAACTTTGACTTGTGACCTTTTGACAACCTCACTGGCTACCAATGCCCACACAGCTCTGTGGCCTTGTTCTGGAAGAATTCCCAGGAATGAACCTTGTTTACTATGTAACAGCAGATTCTGTAAATATTTCTCACTGAATCTGCCATACTTGCCTTCCTTCTGTGCTCTGCAAGTACAACACCCATAAAATGATGTCTTAATTTAAAACAAAACAAAACAGAAAAGCTGTTTTCCGATGAGTGGTTGTGCCAACAGAACTATATTAGAACTTGGGCAATTTTGCTTTGTGGTCCAGCTGGGCGCTACAGGGGTAGAGAGACGTAGTGAGGTGGTGAAATAATGTTACACAAGTGGGCATGTGGTAGTATGATGCTGCATGTAGGTCTTATACTTTCCCCCCCAAAATACTTAATATCAAATGAGAACAATTACTGGTTGTGTGCCTTAATAGTGGAGTTACGAGTTCTCAGATATGAAGTAGCCTTCCCCTTAAAATACCTGAGAATGTCTAAATCACTGTAATATGTCCCTTGGGCTATATTGTAGATATATAATCTGTTAGCCAGTCGTGTCCGACTCTAGGGGGCGGCACTCATCCCGCTCTTCAAGCCATACAGCCAGCATTTGTCCGAAGACAATCTTTCCGTGGTCACATGGCCAGTGTGATTTAGACACGGAACGCTGTTTACCTTCCCACCGAGGTGGTCCCTATTTATCTACTCGCATTTGCATGCTTTCGAACCGCTAGGTTGGCGGGAGTAGCCTTCCCCTTAAAATAGCTGAGAATGTCTAAATCATTGTAATATGTCCCTGGGGCTATATTGTAGATATATAATCTGTTAGTAATTTTGCACAGTTAATAGATGAATTTGAAGAGTCATGTTGCAGGGGATTAGCTTTGCTGGCTGCATGTTTAATGGAGAATATTTAAATTGTAGTCAGGAATTCAGTATGGATTCAATTAGTCCAAATTCAGTATGGATTCAATTAGTCCATATGTCATAGGGGTCTTTGAACTGAAGTCTTAATTACAGTTAGTAGCAAATGTTAAACCACTGGAAAGCCTATCAATTTAGGGGTCAAGTTAAATGACACGAAGGTCTTCAATCTTTGCTATAATCCTTAGCTTTCTCTCTGTTCTTCTTAACCAAATGCATGAAGAATTGCAAAATATTAACCAGTGTAGCAGGTCAATGTTCAATGGGTCTGCAGGTAAGAGGAGCCCACCTGTGCATAAGCTCTCAACACAGTGAAGATACCCAATATTCCAGAGTTTTGCTAACATGAAAAACCTGCACATTAGCAGGCACCTCTCCCTCTGCAGACATGTCACCCTTAGGGTGGAGAGAGTGATGACAGAGAGGATAGGACTAGTTGCACCTCCTTAACTATGTTTCCAATATCCAGGTATTATTCCACTTGTGCCACTATTTCTCAGCCCCCTGCCTTTTTTAACCATAAAAAGAATAACTACATGTTGCTTTTTGAACTGTAGTGGTAGGAACCAGCTATCTGTTCTTTGGTTTACTATAATTACACTTTCCTGTTTTAACTTCCTGTACACAGGTTAGAGATACGATGAAGCAGAACCTATTCATAAATCTCAGAGGCACCCATCTTATTTATAAGGAACTGCTGGATAAGCTCAGTGGTTTAGGTATCTCGCTGCAGAGCCAGAAGTTGGGAGTTTGATTCCCCACTGGGCCTCCTTGACAGGGGCTGGATTTGATGATCTATTGGGTCCCTTCCAGCTCTGCAGTTCTACGATTATTATCATTACTATTATTATGAAAAGTTCAAATGCATATTGATACAGATTTAGTTCAAACCTAAGAATAAATCCTGCAGTCTACCTTTCAGATGTAAATCTTTGCAACCAAACAAACCAGCAAGTAGGCATGGCTGCAAAAACCACTGCTGACTAAATCCTTATTATTTGATTTCTTCTTCTTTCCAGTCTCAAGACAGTAGATATGCATCATTTATATCCAATGTCTGCTTCCATTAAATCAGTGCTGACTTGTTCTTTTCCAAAAAGATTAAGGGAAAACCTGAATAATAATTTTTCTTCTGCATTATATCTCCTAAAGGCTTACTGTAAAAATAATAACATCACATTTTCTTTTTAATTCATGCCATCTATATATGCTCATTATAATCCTTATACTAATATCTTCTCAAGTCAGTCCCTCCATCCTTCTTTTTCTCCTGTATTCTTTCTCTTTTTTTACTTTGTGTGAGATTTTACAATGCACAATTGCCTCTCATTTCTCCATAAGATTCAAGCAGCCACACAAGAAAGTGAGTCAGTTTTGATACCTGGCCATGTTATGAAATGAATCACCACTGAATTTTTAGTACTTGACATTTCTCATTCATTAGTAAGACATGGTGGTAGTTGTTGGTGAGGTTAGGATTGCCAATTTACAAATGACAAAACAAAATGTTGAGTTGCATCTAATGCCTGTTTCTTGAAGGGTATGCAGAAATCAACATTTATTTTTGAAGATACAGCTACCGTGGTTGGTTAAACAATTTGGAACCTAGGCCAGGTTAACCACTCTGTGTTACATAGGGCATATTGAGTGAATTCACAGACAGCTAACACATGATGGTATTATTCTTATTTTTATTAATAATCCTAACCTTCCTCATATGAGCCCAGGATGGCTAACAATTCACTTAAAAACACTGTGAAAATCAAAAGTTGCAAACAACCAAAATCAGAAATTACATGCATCTAGAGTTACAAATATCCAAAATCAAACGTTACAAAGGTTGCTAAAAATATAATAAAAGCAAGGCAAACAACTAGCAGTAAATGATAAACTGATCATATGGTTTTACCCTGAAATCTTTTATTAATAGATGGGTTTTAACTAGTATCTGAAAGCTAAGAATGAGGGGAACAACCAACTGTCTGATGGAGGGAGGTTCTACAGCTAGGGTAACACCATTGAGAAAGCGTTGTGGCATGTGTGGTAGCCCAGTAGGTCCCAGAACTCCTGAACAAAATAAACACAGTTTTCAGACCTGGCCTTAAATCTTGGTGAATTGAATCCTGAGATATTTTTAGGACTTTGTACGCTGCCGCTAAAACCTTGAATTAGTATCTAGCCATCCACTGTTAAGTTTGCTAAAAAGATTTAAGATCAGCTCTGAAAATTTGACTCTTGCACTAAGATGGACACAACTGAAGTTGAACAAAGAGGCTACTCACCATATTTAATATTGCTTTACAGCTTTGCCCCTATAAATGAATATCCATTCATATGAAGTTATGTCCACTGCTGATCCAGTAGAGGTTCCTGTAAAGAGAAAGAGGAGAGCAGTGTTTTTGCAATTTCCTATTTCTCTCCTGCAGCCTTCCTAACCACTTCCCATGGTGTTCTGGAAAGTTCCATAACCTTCTGGAGAAGACTTGAGGATTTAAGAAGTTGTGGAAGGAAGGAGGACCTGGCAAACATCATTTCTTTCCTCTTTCATTTGTAGATGCTTTGTTTGGTGCCAGCAACTTCTCTAAATAGAAGGACAGCCGGAGAGACAAGACAGTACATTGTTCTTGAACAATTAGTATCATTCTGTGTGATTAACAACAGAAAGATCAGTAATCTGGAATGCAACTCCCTGGCATTTTGAGATTCACATTCTGCACTGATTTCAAATTCTTGGACCACATTTATGTACTTAGCCTATATACCTCATTTCAAATGTTTCTCTAGGGATGTTGGTTTCTCACTCATAAAATATCCCATGGCCTTCTGTGCTGTTATCACAGAAGACCACAAAGTTTCAAATAGGCACAGTGCCATAGAATGTTTCATTTTTCTCAGTGTTCCTCAGAAAGTAATTTGGGACTTTTAAGCCAGAATCTTTCAATATCTCTTTGAATCATTTACTTCACTCTCCCCCACATGCATGCATTTCCCCTCTTTCATTCCAGTGTTCATATATTACAGGAAGTTTAGAAACAGAAGTGTGGGTAGATGGGTGAGTCTTTCTTTCCCTCTAAAGCATCACAACCTTTAATAATCTTTTCTGTGTTAACCTTTTGCACATTGTAAGCGCCATTTGCTGTGGTAGATTTCACTGTTCTTTGCGGAGCTTGCAGTAGATACAAAACAATCAGGGCTGAACAAATCAATGGAATTGAATGTTCTCTTTGTTTTGAACAGGGGGATCAAGGTATACCAGGAGATAGGGGCCTGCAAGGTGAAAGAGGAAAACCAGGATTACCTGGAGACAAAGGAGATGTAGGACCCATGGGGCCCGGAGGACAAAAAGGCAATCCAGGATTACCAGGCCATAAAGGCCCTCCAGGTTCACCAGGTGTTCCAGGTTTACCGGTAAGCTTAAATGGCTCTTGACAGGGTTCCAAAACAAATGTTTATAAACACTGAGTGAATGATGCTAATATGACTGTTCTTACATTTGCCTCCTTTAGACTCATAGGATCACAGAACCATAAAATCTGGAAGAGGCCAATAAGGCAATTGAATCCAACTCCCTGCTCAATGCAGGAATCTAAATCAAAGATTTAGAAATCTAAATCTAGATTTAGGAATCTAAATCAACCATGTGACAGATGGTTGTCCAATTTTGTCTTGAAAGGAATCTAAATCAACCATGTGACAGATGGTTGTCCAATTTTGTCTTGAATGCCTCCAACATTAGAGCACGTGCCACTTCTGAGGTAACTGGTTCCACTGTCACACTGCTCTGAAAGTTAAAATGTTTTTCCTGATATTCAACTGAAATCTGTTTTCCTGTAACTTGAGCCCATTTTTATGTGTCCTGCACTTTGCAATGTTCATGAACAGATCCTGCCCTTCTTATGTATGACAATCTTTTGAGTATTTGAATAATGCTATCATATATCCCCTTAGTCTTTTTTCTCTCAAGACTAAACATGCCCAGTTATTTCAGTCTTTCCTCATAGGACATGGGTTCCAGTCCCCTGATCATCCTTTTTTGCCTTCCTCTGAACTTGTTCCAGTTTGTCTGAATACTTCTTGAAGGGCTGTGTCCAGAACTGGACACAGTACTCAAGATGAGGCTTAACCAGTGCCAAATAAAGGGGAAAGAGTACTTCACAAGATTTGGAGATTATACTTTTGTTAATGCATCCTAAAATAGCACTGATCTTTTTGCAGCAACATCACACTGTTGGCTCATGTTCAGTTTATGGTCAGCAACAATTCCAAGATGGTTCTCAAATGCAAAAGTACTGAGCCAAGTACCCCCCCCCCCATCTTGCTACTGTGCATTTGTTTCGGTTTTTTCCCTGGGTCTAGATCTTTGTACTTATCCTTGCTAAATTCTGTTCTGTTGTTTTAAGCTCAGTGCTGAAGCCTATCAAAGTCTTTTTGAATTTTGTTTCTGCCTTCTAGGTACAGTATTAGGTATTCAGCTTTATGCTGAATAATAATTACTAGAGATGTGCAGAACCCCTCGACTCACTTTGTACCCAAATGAGAGCACACACAGTTCAGGGCCAACCCTCCCTGTGCCCTTTTGAAGATCCTCCAGCACAATCCTGGTCCAGATCCCTGATGATATTCGTGCTTTCCTGGTTCACTGTGAAGACTCCATTCCTGCAAAGGGAGGAATGCAAAGGGGAAAAACCCCAATAGTTTTAAATTTGTTTATTTGTTTATTTGTTTTAAATAGTGCATGCTTTATTGTTTATATCCCGCACCATCTGGCAACCAGGCCACTCTGGGCAGCTAACAACAATATAAGGAATAATATTAAAACACAATAAAAATAAATTAATACATAATTAGTGAAATTATTTGGTTCTATTTAAAATGACACATTGCCTGGACCTCTATTATTAATAATGCATAATGTTGATGTAATCAACTGGTGGCAGCGACACGACACATACCTTTTGCCCTTTGATTGGTGAACAAACAACACCATGTTATAATAAAAACACATAATGGCATAAACTCAACATGTGTAAATTATAACTTAGAAGATGAACATGAGGCATATATATATATGTATATATGTTTGTTTGTTTGTTTGTTTGTTTGTTTGTTTGTTTTAAATAGTGCATGCTTTATTGGCGGAATATAAATTTAAGACATAAAAATCAAGGCAGGTAGCTGAAAATGCCTCTCTGAAAAGAAATATTTTCAGGCACCTTTTGAATGCTGGGAGGGAGGAAACCAGGTGCAGCTCCACCAGGTTCCATTGTGTTTGTGCCACCACAAAGAAGGCCCTGGTTCTACTAGACAGTTTCTTGGCCTTCCTCAGTGTGGTCACTGAGCATTGCCTAGGCAGACGTAGTGGTGCGAGTAGTAGACATAGAGAAAAGGTCCTCTAACTAGTAATGTGGGCCCACACCATGAAGGGCTTTGTAGGTGATCATCAAACCTTGAATCTGACCCAAGAGGCAACAGGTAACCAGTGCAGAGGAACCAGGAATGGGGATATGTGGTCAAATCTACTTGACCCAGACACTACTCCAGCTGCCACATTCTCAACCTACTGCTATCGCTGGTACAGCCTCAAGGGAAGCCCCACACAGAGGGCATCACAGTAGTCAATCCAGGAGATGACCAGTGCATGCACCAATGTCTTGAAAGACTCCTTGTCCAGCTTATGGTAGCTCTGCACACTGCAGCAATCTGGAAATCCCAAGACAGAGCTGGATCCAAGAGTAAACCCAGATTACAAATATGCTCCTTATCTGGAAGGGCAACATCATCCAGTTTAGGATGATGCCCCCCAGTCTGTCTGAGGTACCCCTCAGGATCAAAATCTCCATCTTTTCCAGGCTCAGTTTAAGCCCATTAGCCCTGGTTCATTCCAAGACCATATCCAGGCATGGCTTGAGCATCTGAATGGCATCCACTGCAGAGCTGGTGAAGGGCAGATCTGAACTCTCTGGACATGGTCCTCAAGGAAGGATCAAAGCCAACTCAAAGGCAATTTCCTCCCCCTCCAATCCCCACCTCCAAGAGCCTGTCGAGAAGGATACCGAGGTCAACAGTATCAAAAGCCTATGAGAGTTCCAGGAGAACCAAGAGGGAAGATCCTCCCCTATCAGTCTCCCTTAGAAGTTCATTGTGCAGCCTGACCAGTGCCTTCTCATATCCCACCATGTCCTGAATCCAGACCGGAATGGGTCAAGGCAATTCTCCTCTTTCAGGCACAACTGGAGCTGTACCACCACCATCTGCTCAAGCACCTGGCTCATAAAGGAAATGTTGGTAATAGGTCTGAAGTTAAGATTATCCATCACTATGTGTGGTCATTTAACAATGGGCCAAATAATGGTCTCATTCACTCATCCCTCCCTCAATAATGATTCTCAGCCCAGTTGACCATAATCCCCTTGGTGGAATTTATTAACCATGAAGGGCAGGGGTTGAGCGAAGAGGAGGTGAGTCAATGTTGCAGATGAAAAGGCAAGTGAGGTTTATTTCCAAGGTAAACAGTGTACTGTCCGTTGTCTTCTTGAATTGTTCTTTGATTTCCTCCCACATCTCATTGCAGCTGCCATAAATAACACGAATGATCCATTAAAGCTTTTGGGCTCTTTGGTATCCTCTAGGATGGCCTCTGAAATGCACAAATGCACCTAGTTTGGTTCATTTTTTACACATTTGTACAAAGACTGTGTGTGTGTGTTAACAAATGTTACTACAAAGCTCTTCATAGACAATGAAAAACAATTGTTTGCCTTTTTTTAAAAAAATTGACACCAAGATAATCTATCCTTACCTCAATTTCCTGTTGTTGTTTTTAAATATCTTTATCAGGCTGATACAGTGTTATTTGAAGAAATGAAAAAATACATCAGACAAGAGGTCCTTAGAGTTTTTGAAGGTGAGGAAAAGAAGTATCAGAAAGCATAATGTACATATTTTTCCTCATCTGTATTTGTTTTCATTGTTTTTATATCCCCACAGGTATTTTCAGTACATAACTTTTGAAACAGTTTTACTGAACTTACTTCACTCATATTAATAATTTAAATAGACACTGTAGCTTAAGGCAGAGAAATTTATCATTCTGATGAATTTACATGGCCAAGGTTATCCATAATCTCATGCAAAGTATCACCATAAATCAGAATTGAGTTGAGGATATAGTAGTATTGGTATAGGTAGAATGTAACAAAAATGTACAAGTTTCTAACTATCCCACAACTCTTCTTAAGGATTAGGGAATGGGGGAGGAAACAGAAATGCTTCCAAATAAGCTCTGTTGTTGTGACCTCAAGATTTGCAGCTCAACCCACTGAAAATGGAGATGATGAACTGGGTGAATTACTAATAGTTGTGTGGGTTGCAGAGTATTCCTTACTCTACCCTCTAGGATAGAATGAAAAATAATGTGTACACCTCATTTCTGAAGCCAGAAGTATGGGTGCAACTCATGGATCTGTCCACCGGCTTAGGTCAAAGATACAGGTTCCTGAGCTGGCACAGAGCAGAAGTTCATAATGACATGGCAATTTTCAGTGGGAAAAAAGAAAAATGGGAGGTGCAAAAAAATAAGTGGCCCACTCCACCACTTATTCCCAGTCCTAATCCCCACCCATCCAGTATGGTGGCCCCAATAGATTTTCCCCAATGTAATGTATCTTTCTTCACCTTGTTATAGTGGAAGTTAATTCTTCTTCTCCACCATTTTCATGGTTGAAATCATTGTGTCAATCTGCTGCTTGCCCTATTACTGTATATGTAGAATATCACAAACTGATTGAGAGTTTAGGTCTGAGAAACTGGAGTGCCACTGTTAACATTAAAAGAATGGCAATCTAGACATTTATACCTGCCAGCTAGTTTTGAAATGACATATTGAATTACATTCACTATACTGAGTAGACTAAAGTATCTAATGCTGTTCACTTGTTTTTTGTTTCATTTTGTTTGTTTTTGTTTGTTTTAATGAATGAAGAGAGGATGGCTCAGTTTGTATCACAGATCAAGTTGCCAGCTGCCATGTTAGCTTCCCAAACTCATGGAAAGCCAGGTATTCCAGGAAAAGATGGCTTACCTGGACCACCCGGAGAACCTGGGCCCCCAGGTAGGTCTTCCAAACACATAATTAAATATGCATATTATTTTAAAGTTTTCAAACCTCTTTAGGTTTGGGTGAAAGTGCACACTTAGCTTCCTTATTAACTTTTAAATCCATACTAGCACTTTCCAAAACTAGACCAATATATTAACATTCAGTAGGTGTGTGATTTTGTATATTAAAAACTTCTAATCAATGTATAATAATGCTAATAATATATAACATTGGGGTACTGATACACACCTTCCCTAAACCTACAATCATGTAAACACAGTACTCAAATTCAGTACAGTTCTGACAATCAGTAATCATCACACAATCAATATTTGAGCTATAAGGGTTCAGATGATGAAAAATATGCAAAATAAACTGTAACCAACATTAATGAAACCTGAGCATTATAACATGCCATTTTTGCTGTGAATCTGATTATATTCATACTTCCTTATAGTTAGCTATGCACCGTTCATGGTGTGTAATCATCTGCAAATTCATATGGCAGTGCAAAGAAAGCTCTGTTGTTTGTTCAGTGGTTCATCAATGTGCCTCATTCAGATGCCAATGAATCCAGTCTCCTCAGTATTTTGCTCTTGTGGCAAAAATAGACCTTAGAGATAATCTGTGATTAGAAGGCATTCCTTAGCTGCTGGAAGTGTCTTGAGTACACAGCAGCTTTGCTCATCTCATGTGATTTGCAAATTGGCTTGCTTTGTTTTCTGATTGGTCTATAGGATTTAAGCATGGGATTCCTTTGAATTTCAGATTTCTGAGAAACAAATGTTTCCTGAGTTGCATCTCTCCATCACTAATATCGTTTCAGCTGTAGGAGAGGCAGTTGTGTTAGACTATGTAAGTGTTAACAAAACAAAAATAAAAGAACAAATATAGAAGATAAAAATGTTGTGGCACCTTAAAGACTAACTGATATGTTCAAATGTGAGCTTTTGTAAAATATAACAGTCTTTAAGGTGCCGTAATGTCTTTGTCTTTTTTATTTGTTCTTTTATTTTTATTTTTCCCCGTAAATCTTTCCAGCTGTAATGACAGGCTGTCTCTTAAGACAATTTCTCCCCTTGACTTCTTTGGTCCATTTAAGACAATCATTTTAGACATACAGTCAGGAGAGGCAGAGCACATGCTGTGTAATTATTATTGGAGTAGTAAATAATGAGCCACATACAAATATATAGGTAGTTCTTAATTATTGTTTTTTGTTAGTTTGGTCTGCTCTGGAGTCAGAGCAAGTCAGACTGGAATGAAGAACGTGAGAGCAAAGCTGAAGAAATGCGGAACACAAAGCTGTGAGGAGAAGAATAAAGACTGTAGAGAGACTGATAAGAGCAAATCCTTGACTGAAGGTTGGAAAGTGTGATGGGCTCAGAATGAGAAGAACCAGAATAAAAGAAACAAGGAGAGCATTAAAAAGGGACTAGAGTTTTTTAACAAAACAAAACACGTACAAATGGCTTGCTTATCATCTGAGTATTCTGATTGTTGTAAATGGTCAATTTGAATGTTTCTGCTTGATTGCTTAATGAGGATGCACACAATGGATAGTTTTAAGATGTACATCAGAAACAGCAAGCCGAGCAATAATGTGAATCCCTTCCCAACGGGCATGTTTGCCAGAAGTAAAAGCTAGGAACAATGCCCCCTGGGAAGCAAGGGAAATTATAATGCTGCTTTTTTGTGTTTTAGTTGTAAGAACATTACTGTGTGGCATGGTAGAATATAGCAGAGCATCATACCTTCCATCTCCCCACCCGAGATCACTACAGTTTTAATTCGACAAAAGAAATGCATAATTTTGTTATGATTTATAATTAGAAACAGATACATCTTTGTAATGAATATTTCAGTAATTTAAAATTGATGCCGCAATTGAAGTCATGTTAAATGAAGGGTGACATATGCCCTAGTAAACACACAGACGAGATCAGGTTGTGAGATCTATTTCCTTGAAAAACATGTCTATAATTTGTCTTCAGTCAAATACAGAAAGTTAGTCAACTGTTTAATTTTCTCAGTCTTGGTACAATGGTTCTTACACATTACGGGGTCATTTAGTTTGCATTTTGTTGGTTGAACTATTGCTGCAGTCCACAGACTCATGGGTAAAAAAAAATGTCGTCATATCAGTTTAAATAAATCAAAGTCTCGTAGCAGGTTAAAAAACCTCAGACCAGATTTAAAAGATTGATGTGCATATTTTGGCTGGAACTTTTTCTGAGTCAGGACCTCTCTCTCCGATACTTCATGAGTTTGACAGCATGTCTTCTGTCCTGTGAACACTTTACGGGCACAATAAATCTACATCTTTAAGATGCTGTAATAAGGCTGATTTTACTTTCAGCATTAAAAGAGCTGCCCCTCTAAAATCAGATAGTTGCAATGGGGAAGGTAGAAGTGTGATTTACATCTGTATTGGAAGAACCAATAAGGCATTAACATGGCACACAGATAAATATACTCTATATGCATGGAAATATTCTCTATGAAACTTCTCCATGCAAATAACAACATGTGACATATAACATGTTAAGCAGGCAAAATGGCGTTTCAGATTTCCACTTCCGCACTGAGTTTAAGATTTTTTGGTGGTAGGATAGAATATTATCATGGGTATCCTTGCATAGCCTTACCACTAAAATTAATGGGACTTGAATACACTTAATTGTGATCACGTTGTGTCCCATATTTTGTACTCATTGTAATTAGTATTCTAGAAAGAGAGTCACTATGACCCATCCCCTAAGCGTGATCTAAATCCAAGAACAGAGGTTTCTGCTACTGGGGCAACTTTCGGGTTGCATTCCTACAGATGCAGTGTGGGGAGAAAACAGCCTGCAGTGCTGTATAAACGTACACACTCCAGAATAAGCCCTGTTCTTCATCGCACATACACACTCCCCTAAATGATCCACATGGTTTTCAATATTGCCATGGGGAATATTCTGGCATGTTGGTCAATATAAAATGTTCATTTCTGTGCATTTAGATCTCTGGAATCAGGATCAGCATTTATCAAATTCAAAGTCCACACTTAGAGACTCACTAAAATGCTGTGAACCTATCCAGGGCTTCATCTGAATCTGGGCTCATCAAAGTTCCATGGGCAGAGTTCGATAATACAGTGTGTTCAATCATGTGCACAGTACCATCACCTCATCATCAGTTACTGGCAGACAGTTCCCAAATGTCTGAGATGAGGCAATAAGGGAAAGGGCAGAAGGGATTATTTTCCTTGGAGGTCCAGTCCTGACACCAATCAATTTAGAATACTGTGCAAGCAGTGAGACAGTCTTGAAAGATACTACATACTGTTCCTGCTTTAATTGCAACACAGGAGACAGTGGGAAACAGTTCTATAGTCTGAGAAAACTATGCCATGCACATGATGAGCCATAGCATATTAGTGTCTTACTATGTAGACGATTGCATAGAGACATTTAAAGCACTCTCCAAATATTCACTGACTTTAACTAATGTACATTTCTTATCATGGATCAAAGGAATGGTTCCAGATGATTTTTCCATAAAGTAAGAAAAAAGGAAGAACTTTATATGTGCCTTTGCTGCTTAGTGAGCTGGAACTGTGTTTATGAAGCAGATAGCTTTCAAGCTATACAACTGTGTCTGTTGTCATGGGAGGTTTCTCATCATAGTCATACCTAACCGCACAACGACTGCTTTTATCTGAACAAGTCCTTAATCTGAACTTCCAAGATAATTTCAGGGCTAAGAAATCACAACAGTGTGATTCTGTTTAGGCTTACTGAAACATAATTTATAAAAAGGTCTTCACAAAAGGTCCTGGCATAACCATTCACTAACAAGGTTTAAGGGTTTTCCCTTTGTTTTATATATGTTACTTATTTTACTCTGTGAAAATCTTTTATATTTAGGTCACAATTTTCATAATGAACTTAAAATCATGCTCAGGTATACTGTGAATTTAAACTCCAGAAGTTTAATCATTATTAAAATATACCTCATGTAAAATCTGCTGTGTTATTGACAGATTTGTTTTGGATTGTTTTTGAATGGTGTTCTCATACAATATTTAAATGTTTTTCTTATTGTTTTGATTATGTAAAATAAAACAGAAGTTTAGAAAGTGATTGGTGAAATGTTTTATTAAATGTTTGCGTTGTTATTGTTGCTCAAGAATGCCCAAAACATTTGTTTATATAAATTTCAAATATTCTTAAGCACTATTCATTCTTATTGATAAAATATGAGTAGATAGACTGTTGTATTATTTACTTTCTTCAAAGCGTTCTGAATCTCAAAAGGGTTCACAAATTTTCTCACTTCTTATTGATTGATCTTTGTTTGGATTTTCATTTTGTACATACTGTATGGCTTCCAGTAGGAATACTTGAGGTGATTTATCATGAACATTCTGTTTCTTACTGGATGACCCATGTAGCAATTAAGCAGATATATGTCTAATGGGATCACTCATTTTATGTGTAGATGAAAAGGGGGCATTTAAACATTTTTTATTGTAAAACTGAGGAAACCAAGATGGTATAACAAATGGAAAATGTGATCCATGCTTTGATTATGGAATCTGAAAAACAGCAATTAAAACAAATTGCTGTACATTTTGGGCTGACATATTTCAGCAATTAAAACAAATTGCTCCACATTTTGGGCTGACATATTTGCCATGAATCATGGTAAGAGAAACTCACCAGGATAATCATTTATAGCTCTGTCCAGTAGAACACAGATTTCACAACTAACATGACGATAATGCCTTGTATTTCCTTTCTTAATATATAAGCCAATTTCAACATCTGCCTGTTTGTTTGTATGTTGATATACATACGTTTTGTCATGCCACGCATGCCCCCGTCCACCCTCACTCCTGCATGTTTCTTCTATCAATGGAAGCTTTGTTCTTCTCCTCTGAATCATTTCAAGTGGGCATATCATGATACTGTGGCAGGTGAAGAAAATGCCATGTTTATTTGCTTCAGGATCTAAAGGTGATTGCAATAAATTAATACATATAACAGCTAACTTATTACTTCCTAGAAAGTCCCTAGGTTAGACCTTTGTGCTCCCTTTTTATTGTTGGGTGACAGACATCGTAAAAGTGGATCTAATTTCAGCTTTTCTGTTTCTGAACTTTGCCTCTGATACAGCCTACAGAACAACTCTAAGAACTATAATATACTCCAGCACTGCAGTGTTGTGTCTATTGGCTTCTGGAGATCGAAGTGGTGCTTTTTAGATTAACTGCTTGCTGAGCTGTTTTTTGTTTTTGTTTTTTCATTTGAACCAAACAGTGACATTTCTTTAATAGGTAGCATGCAGTTACATCTGTCTTCTCACCACCTTAGTCAAAGGTGAATAAGGAGGACTGCCATGGATTGGGATCCTAGCTTAGCACTCAGATGGATTTAATAATTTGCTCCCTGCTGTGCTTTTGATTCATATTTTCTCCTCAACAATTTAGACAGGACAAATGTCTCTGTTTACTTCAGTGGAGACTTTTCCTATTCAAAGTGGAGACCTGAAGAAAGAGTTTGATCAGAATCACAGGAGGATCCAAAGAGTTCTTTCATCTAAGAAAATATATTGTCTTAACCCACCCACCGAAAATCATCATTTGACCTTCAAAAATATTAGGAAATGCAAATTATTTTTCTCCATACCAAGTAGTGAATGATTGTTAAAGTTTGTATAGATTGATCTGAGTTGCTTTAACATATTCCTGTTCCACAAAACAGTTTGTCAGTAGCTTCCAAGAGTCTTTGGAACAGAACTGATGATTATATATTGATGATGAACTGTTGAGCTGGAATGGATTCTATGGATCAACTCCAGCTTCTGTCAAGGAAGCACAGTAGGGAATCAAACTCCCAATCTCTGGTTCTGCATCCAGAAACTTAACAACTGAGCTACTCAGAAGTTTCGGTGATTAGTAGTTGAAACGTCCAGTCTTGTATGTGAAAAAAGACAGAGCTGTCCATAAAATATCCCTTAATTTTGCTGCAGATATCTGAAAGGGTTATTTTGAATTCCAGTTCCTCTTTTCCAAATGTCTGCAATCAGCAACTTTCATAGGTACAGTCATTCACAGAAGAAACTCCAGTACTGGAATCAGAATTAAGCAAAGAAACGACAGTATAGGGGTTGATCTGCTGCCATCAGTAATTACAGGGCCGAGGCATGTTCCTCAAAGGCTTTAGAACCAACCATATCTACAGCTTTCCGAACAGCACTCCTGGTAATATAATCTGTCACCCATTTCTGTCAGCATGTGGTGCTGCAAGTAGTGGGCACATTATTTGGTTCCAAGCTCTTTTCCTGTCTGTTGAAAGACTGAAACAGCTTTGACCAGAGCACAATTCACATGATTTAATTATGCAGTGCCATTTTCCACATAGATCCTCTGCATCACCAAAAGGTCTCTATGCTGGTTTCATGCTTAGCGTAAATTTCTTCACACAGTACAGAAGATCCACTTGGTAAGTGAGGTTACCTATGTGGACCCCATGTAGGAAATCCATCCCTTTTTCAACAGCCTCCTTTCAGCTGCTGTAATGTCTATATTGATTTGTAGTTCTGCATGGTCTAATACCCTGGGTAAGGGTTTTGAACCTGCATGCCCTATGTTCAAACAAAGCATGATACTGGATCCCATGTAGATCTCTTCCCTTTCCATTTGAAATAAAATTTCATTTTGATGCCACCTGTTCCTCAGGTTGTAATGCATATTGCATTATATTATGCATTTCTTATATAAAGAAATATATATATTTCTAATGCACTACAGTTCCCATAGGATAGTTAAAGATGTTAAAAAGAAGAAAGCACACCTGAGCTTTCAATGCATGCCTCAGTCCTTTGATAAGGATTTTTAATCCCAATTCAGTGACTGAAAGTACAAAACAGATATGAGAGTAATTCGGGTAAATTGGGAGAAGAAGGTTTAGCAATGAGCCTTGATCATAGAATCTGTTCAGTTCTACCAGACATTGTCTGTTTGTTGAAAAGAAAATATGCAAAGTACTGTTTCCATTACCAACATCAAAAGGGAATGAATTATAATTTTTTGTACAGTTGCATGTTGAGAAAGACGTGAAACAAATAGAACCGTGCAATTCCAGGGCACTCTTATTCCTTTTTTGTTTATCTCCTCCAGGCTACAGAGGGCAGAAGGGTGAAAGAGGTGAGCCTGGAATTGGCCTGCCAGGTGATCCTGGCCCACCTGGTCCTTCAGGTAAAAAACACCAGTTTGTACTTCTCTTTATAAAAGAATAGATGGATTGGAACACAGTCTTAATTGGCCACGATGGCCAAGGGACAGCTAAGCCCACTGTAGACCAACTGAAGGTGGGATGGATCCAAATCTCATCCTGTATAAAGATGTTAGACCAGTGGTTCCCAAAGTGTGTACCCTGACTCCCTGGGGCACTGCCAAACCCAGCCAGGGATGCTGTGGGATCCTCTCATCCTTTGTCACCACTGCCCCCTCCCTCTCCTTGGCTGATGGGTCTCCCTGCATGCTGGCTCGGATTGTGTCTAATGCCCTGCCCATGCCCAGGCACAGACCCCAGGGCAAGCCACACTCTTCTCCCTAACTACACAGGAGGAGAACAGGCAGATACTCTGGGATAGGTCAAGGAAGCTACAAGTTGAAGAAGTTTGGAAACCACTGGGTCAGACATCCCTTAGGACTACATTCACCTTGGCCTGACTTAGCGCCAGCACTGTGGCTGTGACTATTGATTGCAGGAGGTTTATATCTGGTGTAACTTAGCTCCTCCCATGTCCTGCCCCTTCCCCGCCCCTTTTGATATTTCTGTCATCAGATCTTAGGCAGAAGAGCAGTTCAGGTAGGAAAAGGCCCTAAGCTCATCCAGAAAGAAGGGGTTCTGGAGGTAGATGGGTATTTCTGCTGGTAGAAGACTTTTATACTTAATCTTAAATCCCTAGGGCTGTCACATCTTTTGAGTTAGGATTCCCCCTGTTACAGAATAGTGGGGTGGGTGGGAAATATATCTCTTGGATATGACTCCAATCTCACAGGAAAAAAACACTTTTTGTTTGGTAGTTCAAATTATTAAACTAACTAGGGTCCCGGGGCTCATTATAGGGGCTGAACGGGTGGTGGAATAAGTCAATTAATTGCAGGGTTCTTTGTTTGTTTTTAATTATTTGCTTAGTCCCTGGGATCCCAGGCCCACCTGGAGCTTCAGGAGCACAGGGGCCACCTGGACCTTCAGGAAGATGCAGTCCTGCAGATTGCTATTTTCATGGCTCTGAAACTCACCCACGGACAAGCGGGAAATGAAAATCTCTTCAGAGAGGTTGTGCTTCCTGGTTTGCCCTCACTCACTGCCCCCCCCACCTAATAACGAATTTAAGCTTTAAAATATCTGGTGCGTTTTGGTCCTTATACAGGATCCTGTGTAAGGATACCTTTACAGAGCATCTCAATTCTTTTCCAGAGTTAAGCCAATGGCAAGATGCTGTTTTCTTGCATTCATTCCATATATTTGTACTTTGTGGCTACTTTTCTTTTGCAAAATGTGATTTTCTTGCATCATGATGTCCTGTTGAGTTCTGAATGGTTTTTATTTCTTACGAAAATGCAATATATGGAATCACAGACTTCCTATTTTTACCTCCTAAATGTCTGCTAAATCCTATATGCGGGTGTGTGCTAGGATTTCTTGCTATCCTGGAATGTCCTGTATAATTTTTAAAGACTGGGCTAAAAAGTTGTGAATAGGGTCTCACTGCTTTTGTGGATGACTCAGTAAACTACCTAAGTCAGTGGTCCCCAACCTTTTCCCAACCGCGGATTGGTTTTGGGGGGGGCGTGGTGTGCCCGCAAGGTTGGTGAAGCTCGCTTGTGTGCATGCGCATGTCACGCTAGCAGGGGGCGCTCACGTGCATGTGCACAGTGCGCTCGCAGGGGACAGAATGTGCTTGCGCGCATGTGCACATCACACTCGCGGGGCGCTTGTGGGTGGGTAGGAGATCTGTGTCCGTGGCCCGGTCCTGGTTGGGGACCTCTGATCTAAGTAATGCAACTGGCTGTGGGATTTCTCATCCTCCCTCTGCCCTTGTGCAGTATAGTAGACCTGACAAGAAGCACATTCAACACAGCTACTGAAAGCATTTTTCATGTGAAGTTGTAGGGTTTTTAAAGGAGCTTTTCAGCATCTCAGCCATAAATTGTGGCACAGAGGAGAATGCTGTTAATGCAGCCAGTGTGTGGAGTGTCTACTGCAGCCAGTGTTGTGCTTTGCTCTCACCGAGTTCAGTGGAGGGGAACACTAACAGTGCAAACCTAAGTCTATTTATTCAGTGCAAACCTAAGTCTGTGTCCCATTGGGCGCACACTTTAGGAAATGTACTTGGGTTTGCATTGAACATTTCACACATGAAAGAGCCTTTAGTTATTGAAGTATTACCTAGTTTTGGAAGAGATGACTGGCAACAGCTCATTCTTATTCTAAAACAAACTGAGGGAGCGATTGGAGTATGGGTCCAATATATCAACAGAATGCCAACTTGGGGAAGGCTGAAGGAATCTTCTGGAACTAGGGGAATCATGCTTTACTGACTCTTACATCCCTATTTTGGGTAAAGGTCTGTCAAGCATAGATTGAGAAGCTGTGTAAGCAGCTTCAGATAAAAGATAAGGATCTACATTGGCCACTTTTTCATCAGTTAAAATTTCTCCTCAGTTAAAATCAGAAAGGAAGATTCAAGCTCTTAATAGTCATAATTGTGCTAGAGTAATTTTAGACACTTAAGAAGAGTCACACAAGCTGGCCCAGCATGCAGCACACACAGTCTTTCTGTTTGAAAAATTCAGTGGCTGGAGCATCTTGACATTTTCTTTTCCATGAGGAGAACATGGTCGCACACAGTGAAGGAAAAGAGCCCTGTTGAGCAGAGAAACATCATTAGTTAGTTGGACATTCTGTCATTGAGGACTAATAAAGAAGGAGAGAGGGCTCAAAATAAAATTCACTCCGGGAAGATTATCATCCTGCCCTCAACTGTGCTTGGGGTGGATGTAGCTACATCAAGGTTTTATTACGAAATGGAAGGCACCTGGGTAGCCACAACTGGAGTTCCTTTATGGTGGGAGAATCAAATTGTAACAGAAATATAAATTATACAAGGACCACTTCCAAAATAAATGTTAATGCTATAATTACAATCATGTAATAATTTGGAAGGAGTCATATATATTGTTCTTAATTTCAGGGCAAGCTGAGGTTGCTTATCTGGTTTCTGAACAACATCTAGAGTAACTTCCCAGCTTTAGGATTTTAATAGGATCTCTGTAACAAAATGGGGTCATAGTAGACAAAATTCCAGAATGGGAAGCCTTATTAGTCTGAGGTCAAACACACACACAAGGACACAGAGTCTTATTGCAATTTTAAGACAAATATGTTGGGGGCATAGTTTTCATGAGCCACACTCTCCCTTGTCAAGACAGTTGAAGCATTTACCTAAACAGATGTATTAAAAAGAAAAAAATTGTTTTCAAAGTTAGGTCCAAATATCAAGCAACACCAGAGGTGATAGTAGGCGCTGTAGAATTTATGTAAGAATCCACAAAGCAGAATGTCCAGCAATTCTAATGAGCATAGGGGGAACACGCCAGTTGGTTATGTGTGTGTGTTTTAAGAAGACCCATATTTAGTTGTTACCTGTAGTCTTACTACGGAAATAAATGGAATTGTGCGTGCTGATTTGATTGCACCCATGAGCCACAGTTTTCAAGGTACTCCCACCAGAATCTGACTTTCACAAGACACTTAGAGGATGGGCAAACTGTAGCCCCCAAGTTGTTTTTCCAGCCCTCAGTTCATCAATCTTCCCCACTTTTTCAAGCACAAAAACAGGTGGTTCAGAGATCCTGGAAGCCTTCAGGAGCGCAGATGGCTATTTTGAATAAGTCATGCTCGTGGTTTCCCTGCAGCAACACTGCCAAAACAAATAAGAAAGGAAAGGGGGAAAAACATTTGTTCAAAACTAGAAGTGAACTTCTAGCTGCATGTTGTTGTTGTTTTGTTGTTATTGTTATTGTCACTACTACTATTACTAATTGGTTTGTTGTTTTGGTATTTTTGATGGCCTGCATGGCCCCTAAGAGTTCCTGGGGCAGATGTATGGCCACTGGATCTGCCAAAGTTGCCCACTCCAGTCCTAAGATTGGTTTCCTTCTTCCCACCCCCTTCTTTGAACATGCCCTTGGCAATGAACCTATCCATCAGCTGTAGTGGTTGGCCCATCTATAGGTCCAAGACATGGTATTGTTACTTTGCTGTTCTTCAGGTCTGCCCATGCGGTCAGCTCCTTCCTTGAGCTGAATTTAACCTGCACATGTGTAGCCTTGCAGATAAGAAATGAGATGGGAGAGTGGGATAGGCACTATGTCTTTATATGATTTTTTCCTGATTGTGTTTTTAACAAGATTTGGCGATTAAAGCAGCTGATGCGTGGAAAGAGTACAAAAATGGTTACATATCCTGGAAATGAAATGTGCTCTGAACTGAGCCTGTTCTGAAATAATGCAGCTCCTACGCCCTGGTGTAACTTGATTTGTCCTAGTCAAGACACTGACCATGTATTTTCACTGTAGTTGGATGTACTGCTGGACAGATACACTGCCCGGCAGAAGCTACTCCATTTCCTGTTTAAAATCTTGTCTCATTTGCAGTAATTCCAAATTTTACTGAAAGCAATCTCAATTTTTTAAAATTTTGAATTTATTTTAGACTGTTCTAAGAACAACAACATAAGTACTGCATTTTAACTGGACACTGTAGCAATATTCCGGTATGGAAAATTAGCTGAGTAGCTGAGATGATATGCAATTTGGTGCTGTGTGTATATTTTGGGTTTTACCTAGTGGAACTAAAACATTAAGATAGTACTTGGTGTAACAAAATAGAGGTTAGTTTACTTGAATTTGTCAGAAAGTAAAGCATGTATATATATTTGGGGAAAACATTTTTAATTTAATTTGCTTAAATTTTTGTTTTCTTGTATGTATGTTTTTGGAAACGTTTTAAGAGAAGAGAGAGATCCTTTTGAATTATTTTTCTTGTGCTGGAACCAGAGATGTGCTAGTGGGAGAAACACTGGCAGCAGTGCTCTGCCATGAACTGTTTTGCCAAAGATATGTGATCTTGTTCAGGTGGTCACACACTTGTTTGTGCAAGCTCACAACCTGTGTAGAGATGGCAATACACCCTGTGCTACAATGCATCCTGAAAGGCTGTGCAGGGAATTGTACAACTCCCTGTACAGGAGTACATCTTGTGAATTTGTTTATTTTACCAGTGGGTGTGCAAATGAAGCCCTTCCATTGGAGTTCTTGTCTTTATTTTCTCTGCTCATCTTTTTTAAATTACTTTTTTTGCTTTTGAAATAGTATATTTTTAAGTGTCCACACAATTTTTTAAATGTTGAGCCTATGCTCTAGTTATATCAAAGTTCAACAAATCAGGAATAATTCTGAAGGTACACTTTTTATATGAGGCCATATGATGATTTGTACTCTGTTTTGTTGTGTTTACCATACTGTGGTAAACAATATCATATGGCAACTCTTATTTCCCATTTCAACTTATACATGCCTTGTTGAATTCCTGTTCAAATGAGGTTATAGTGATTTTCTTTCTCTGTTGATTTAATACATGAATGTGAACAGATTTACAGTTAATAGTGCAGAAGCAAACAAATGATACATAAGATGTATCCCTTCTGAGTTAAGCTAGACTGAATCTTTGGAAAGATGGTCCAAACTAGGAAAAATGTCTCACCCTATCACACTGGAGTGAGGTGACTCTCTGCTTATACTATAGGCTGCCACTGCAAGTATAAAATGTAAATCAATAGTCAAAACAGAATAAAACTAAACAGAGCAAGTTTTCTTTCTGCAGGTCTACCCAGTTGTTATTATGTGCCATCGGGTCACTTCTGACTTTTGGTGACCCTAAAATAAAGTTCTCATGGTATGTGAGATGTTCAAGAAGTGATATGCCATGCCCTTCTCCTCATAGGTTTCCATGGAGAAGCAAGAATTTGAATGCCATCCTGGCTTTTCTGTTGGGTATTAAAATGGTTCTTCCACTTGAGAGATACACTCTGTTGCAATACTCTCCCAGTATCACAGACAGCCAATTTGATGACTGCTATGAGCCTCAGCAACAACAGTGCTGAACACTGGTTTTGATGAGAGGAAGTCTGTCAAATCAGTGGCCTTTTTTTCTTTCCCAACACAACCAGAAATAGAGAATTACTGTACATTTTAATAATGAAGGCACATGTGAACCTAAAACAAAGTCCATGCCCCTCCAAAAAAAGAAAAATAGAAAAGTGTGCAGGTTTTGAAGGCCACACATCTTTTTTTCAGTAAAGTAAGCAATGGGATATAGAAAAGAAGTATGTTTGACCTTAAGGCCATGTGGTCTGCATAATGTTTTGAGGTGTAATGGAGACTCAGAGACTCTTTAGTTGGTGGAAACACACAGCAACCAGGCTGTCGGTTTTTTAGGCAGACATTCTGTTGTAAGATCTTTGGAGCAAGAGAAATGCTGGCAGCCTGGAAAGCATTTCTGTAGGCTCATTAGAATGGCTTGGCCTTGCTCCATGATGGTTTGATGGTGTGTCACAAAGAATGTATGATGCAAGAGCCTCTCTTGGGCTACCAAGCATGTTTTCTGTCTTAAATCTCATGAGAGCAAACTAATGCATGTTTACACTGTTGTGAGGCTTCAGAATCAGACAGTTTACAATCTGCAGCCAAACCATGCCTTCTTCCTTCTGCTGAACTGGTCATTTGATCAGTTGCATGGCTGAAGTAGAAGAAAACCATTGCGTATGGTCAATGAAACATTCTTTACATGAAGAAGGTAGTTCTAGAAGTCCCCTGAACTAGAATGATAAGTCAAGCTCCCTAGTGAACAGAGGTGAAATATTTTGCCAAAACTCAGTAACACTTTTGTCTCTCATTTCTGTCTTTTTCTTCCTGCCTCTGTTTGCAGTTGGCCACGAGCTAGGTTTGGTAGTAGATCATGGTGCATGGCATGGCACAATTTTTCTTGGTGGTAGCAGATTTTAGAGAAGTCCCTATATTCTAGTTTGGCAGTATAATAATTTGCAAAATACAATGGAACACCTTTCTATATTACTTCAATTAGAGGACTAAATCCAATGTAGAACTAATGAAAGCAACCCAATTAAAATACAGTAAATTGAAATTGTTAGCTGCAACTGAAGTACAGTACATCTCATTAAGTAGTACAGGATTTAGCCCAGAAGAGTTTAAAATCTCAATGTCACAGACATTTCTAAAATTTATTTAATAATTTTTTCAGAGGAACACTGTGCACCTAGAATTATTTAGGTTTGTTGGAGCAAAATCATAAAGTTATTGTAACTTAGTGTTGTGATCCTACAAAACTCTTCAGGGTTTGTGCTATACCTCCTTAAGTCCACTTGGTGGCATGGAGCACATTTTTTATTTGTGCTTATGACTTAATAGTGATTTATGTCTATGAATGTTAAGGCAGGAAGCAGTGCACTATATATAAATTAATTTTATACTAAGTTTCCATTTTTGTCTTTAAGCTTGAAATGTTTACCTTTTCTCCTCCTCCTCCTCCTATGCTTTATTTTTAAACACAGGGAACAATTCAGGCAGCATATACGGACGTGATGTCGCATTGTTTTGAGCAGGAGGCATTTAAGCACATGCTTAAGTCTCCTTTGGAATAAATGGGACTCACCGTGCTTTAATTCTGGTTGGAAGATTTTGTGTTGCTTTTTCTTTACAAATAAATGTGACGTCGTCACAGTTTCTATAGCCTAGCTTGTATATAATGTAGAATTAACAAAGCTATTGTGTTAATGGGAGAAGACCCACACAGAGAGATTCTACTGAGCCTGTTTCTTCCCCACACTGTGCCACATTTTTAGAGGAGTTGTGAGTCTATTTCGTTAGGCATAAACAATGCTTCATAAATGAAGTGGAAGCTGTAATCTATTTCTCTTTGATATTAACATTTTAATATTAATATTTTTGTATTAAAAATGTACCGGTTTTAGGTTTAATGTAAGCCTGAGTGTAGCAAGCTTGTTTCCCCTTGTCTTAAATCTTCCTTTGCTTTTCATTATTGTATGCAATAAATAAATAAAATGAATATAAATCTTTCCTGAATGGGGAAAAAAACTGTTTTTCAACACGTTTGGTAACCATTAGCAGAACTTCAGGTCATCATGATGGTGGTTACAATTTTTTTGAGTATTGACTTTGAATGATATGGTACAGTGCAAGAATAAGCATTGTATTTAATTTAAATAGACCAAATGGGTGTAGAGAATTTACAAGAGTCAATAAGAATGGCACATTCTAACAGAGGTAAGTGTGCTTAATCCATTGATCTTTGTGTACTTAAGCATACTGAACTTCTGCATTTGTTTGTGACCTGGGCTCATCGTTGTTTGATTTTTGTCCTTTGTAAATATTTTCTCATCTCAGTTCTTTATGAAAGTTGATGATACCATACTATATTGTTGCATTTCTGGATAATATTTCTTTACCATTAGTCTTCTTAAACCCTATGACATTGTGTTTCTTCTGGCCTGTGAATGAGAAGTTCAACTATTTGCACATTAAACTAAGCAGATTATCATCTACTTGGTTCCTTTAGTCTTAAATCAACTTTGAATTGCAGTGCATTGAACTTTATAAAAAAATCAGGTATGTTTCTTGTATATCTGTACTATAATGGTTGTGTTTTCTTTAAAATCACAGTTTATACTTCTGTGGATTTCAAAATTTTAACACATTCTGTTTTAAACAGTTTGATGGGATTCCTATTATTCTCCTTGTACGTTTGTTTTTACATTGCTAGATTTGGTGAAGAGGTTTTCATTTTTCTTGTCTGATTGCTTTATTATTTACATGCAATTGCTATGAATAAAAGTTACTTGATGGAATAATGTATTTTTGCTTGCTTTTTACACAACAAACATGTTGAATGAAATAAAATAGATTCATTTCAGTTGCACTTGCAGTTCTTAATTATGTACCATCAGCATGATTCCAACTTGTAGCAATCCTCCCAGGTTTTCTATGATGGAAAGGACCACAGTTCCAACCTCTGCTCAACCATGATGCTTATTTTATGACAGTTTCTCTCTCACCCTGCATATGCACATACCCCACGAACCAAAGTCTCTGGAGGAAGGATGGAAGAAAGATTTAATGAAAACATGACTATATGAACTAGTGAGATGTCTGTTCAGAGTTAGGAAGGAAGGAAAGAAAGTTGTAGGATAATAACCAATGAAGCTATGTGTAATACACTCAAAGACATATGCTGGGAATGATGGGGAACAGCTACTGGAGACAAAGCCTTCACATATCACAATAGAATGGGGATGTATCCAGTCCAGTTGAGTACAACCAAGCCTTAATGAGAATAATGATATTCGCTAAAGTGGGCTACTAGGAGAAATGGGGGAAAAGTAAGAGAGGAAGAACCACTCTCTTTTAGTCTCCAGGCAAATATATTAAATTTGGTTTCCCATGCAAAGTTTCTTCTTATAAAAATGAAAAAGCAAAGACCCACAGGAGATTATATTACTGTAAAGACACTTTTGAGACTTTCAGCCTATGGCCACTGCCATTTCTCCATACCAAAAAAAAATTTAGGAACTATAACTCCCAAAGATTCGAATCCCATATGAAAAACCCAAAATTAAACTTCTGTGTAATGAATACCTCCCAAAGATTCAACTCCCATATGAAAACCCCAAAATTAAACTTCTGTGTAATGAATACCATTCTAGCTGTAACTAGGTTTGTCCTATTAAAACATCCCTATAACGATTGATTGTTGAACCGAATTAATTTTTGCATTATTTCAGAATGTAAGAAAGACAGCCTATGGATCTCATGATCATTAGTACCGGAGTATAGTTAACTTTGCTGTTATAAGATTTAATTATAAACAGGCCCTAGTGGCACCAAGAAATACAGAGCATTGAAATTTAACAGATATGATAGCCTATACAGTAGCTTTGGCTCCAGAGTTAGGCTTACAGAACTGGGGCAGCTGAAGTAAAACACGCTGTCCTCCCCAATGCTACACAGAGGCTCAGGGAACGCTCAATGGGGGTTGGTTTGGTTTGAAAATAAAAAGCTATAAAACAGCTCTTGAGCTGAGTTGGGGGAGTACCAGTTGTCCGATTATGATCATTTTTAGATAACCTATGAATTTAAAATATTTGCTCTACCAAATGGGTTGCCTTAAAAGAAACACCAAGCTTCAGGAACTGCTTGGTTAGAGTTGAGCTGAAGTAACTTGAATGGCTTCTGCAGAAACAACAATAGCTACAAGTTCCAGAATGATGGGTACTATACTAAGAGCAACATAGAGAAGGGGGAAGTGGTGGTGATTAAAATAAAGCCACCTTTATTTTTGTCTTGCAGGATGACATTTCAAAGTAGATATATATCGTTTATAAAACAAATGTGCATAGTAGACTAATCAATACAATGCACTTTTGTTTCATTCAGAAATGAAAGGGCAACCAAAATTAATGATGGGCTTTTTCAGAGAAGGGGGTTCCTTGTTTTACTTTTATTTAACATTCATACCCAAAAAAAAGAGAGAGAAAGGTTTTAAAATGTTATTTATTTCCATTTTTATACAACCAGAGGTATGATTTAAGGTATTTTAAAATAAATACATGTCAGCTATAAATCTTAGCTGCTTCCAAATACTAGTATTCCCTTACCAGTGGCTCTTTGAATCTGTTTCTGTGTGCTCAGTTTAGGCAGATTGGACACAAGGTGGAGCTGGTGACAGGTTTAGGCAGAACTTAATACACGCTGGAGCCGAAAAATAAAACGCCTACATGTGAAGGTTATTTCACATGATCTATTACTGGCAACCTGAAATTCCAACACTGAGACAAGACTTCTCAGCATGGTTATTTGTGGCAGGCATGCCTACATTTGAAATCACAATGACAGGCAAAGAAAACGAAACCAGGGTAAGCTCTGTTAGCAAATTTTATAGCACCTACGTGGTGAAAAAACAACAACAACAAATGATCATAACTTATTTATACAAAGATAAGGGACATCACAGCGACATTGTGTCATTCTCTCAGATGTTGTAAAACTGTAGAAACGGGGTAAGGTTTAAGACTAGTGTCTTGAAAGAAATACTTTCCGAACCCACCCC